TATATATATATATATATATATATATATATAATTATGCGCTATTTATACGCCTCTTGAAAATGAAAAGCAGCAATTTTACATCCTGTTGGTTACGGCAGAAGACAGGATTTTTAGTAGGAAGTTAAGTAGACGGCCAATCATTCCCCTACCTATAAAAAACAAGTTATTCAGCAAAACAAATATATAGGAATGATGCGCTAATTATCTGCTTTTACATCCAGATAATTTCGAGTTTTACGTTGTAATTCTTCGTTCTTGATGCAAAAGGGTATAATCGCCATAAAATTTCGTTCAAATCAAAGGAATCATCAAACCAATTCTGCACGATAAATCTCTACGATTTATACACGTTCTTATATCCAGGTAATCCCAATTTTTGCGCTACAATCCATAAAGGACTTATATCTTGACGCCGAAAAAATATAATTACCATAGTATTTCTCTGGAATGGAAAGAAATGACACCTCCTTAACTATGTATAATACCCTGTATTGTTATATTATATTTTTTCTCTTCTCTCTTATTGTATTCCTTATATTGTATTTCTTATTTATATATTATTTTTCTGTTATACAGTCCGCGCATATGGCTGTGATTGAAGGCCTGATGGTCTTGTACGCGAAGGAGGTGGTGACGGGCGACCGGGTGGTCTCGGCGATACGACGGTTTGATCCGCAAGCCGTGGTGGATGTGCCGTCGGACCACGAGAAAGGGCTCCTGCTGTGGATCAATCACGCGTCGCACGCGCTGATCGCGAAGATCCAGACCGAGGAGGGCGCCGGCGACAAGACGCGGCTGCCCGAGCTGCCTGCCGCCAAGGACTTCCAGTCTCTCTGCGATGGCGTCGGTCTGGCTGCCGTCGTCGCTTTCTACTGTCCCGGCGAACTCAATTGGATGGAGATCAGGGTATCGAAGAGACCCTCGGTGGCGGACGCATTGCACAATCTCTCACTGGTGCACGCGTTCTGCGTCAAATGCCTGCCCTATTCGATATTCCACATGCAGCCCGAGGATGTCACGTACATGAGAGGGTGAGTTATCCTAATTAAAAATAAAATCAGGAATTTCTCTCTCTCTCCGAGTCGCCGCTAATCGAGTTGCGCCCGTCACATTGATCGCATCCGTTATATCCAATCGTCGAAATTAATCCCCACCTCCGTCCTCGCGATTTTCAGCTCCATGAAGCAGAACCTGGTCGTCTTCTTGGCGGACATGTACAACGTTCTGGAGATTCATCCGGCGAAATGCGTGCGTTACCCCGGCGAGGAGCGAGCGATGCAATACTTAGATGGTACGTAGACCGTTTCTCCGCGAGAGAACGACTGTCTATCGATCTGTGCGCGGATTCTGTGCGACGATATGTGGCACTCGAGCTATATATTTTTATATGAGAGCGAGCGAGAGAGAGAGAGAGAGAGAGAGAGAGAAAGAGAGAGAGAGAGAGAGAGAGAGAGAGAGAGAGAAGTCGTGAAATTTGGTGGTGGTTAAATGTGATTGGTGGAGGCTGCCATACACTGTATTGAACTTATACCCGTTCTATGATTTATTTTCTTATACTTTCTTCCATGAAATTCTCTCTCCGTCGCTGTCGCAGGCAACGGTACGAGGTATCGGATCGTCCTTACTCGCTCCCCTGGTGGAATCAAAATCGGACAGCCTTTTGACGGAACGTGTCGCGAATCGTGATTCAGAATATACTTTAGCGCCGGGAAGAAACGTTGCCTGCGATCGCGACGGTGTCACGCTTTTTATCAGTGTCGATATACACACTCGATCCAAGCCTCTCTATCCGGATCCCCCGTCCGTGCAGCGACTAATTACATTGTCTCTGTTTGATGATGATGATGATGGTGATGATGATGATGATGATGATGCGAAATTGGCCGTTGTTGCGAGCGCGTCGAAACAGCGCGGAGTGATATGATGTACCAGCCAACGAACTTTACCACCTCCACACGCAGCACTTAATCTACAACTGTAATATTTCCATATATTTCTATGGCGTGTAACCTTCTTGACGCTTGACAACAACGCCTATCCTCCGCCTTCTTCTTTCGCCAACTTCCGGTTGCCCATGAACCGATACCGGCGCGACGGGTGCAGCCTGCCCGCGCAATAGTCATGGCGTAGCTCATAAGAGAAGTCTGCCACAGTCTATAGCTCCGATACCTGATCTGAGAAGCAACCTCTCCGTATCCGCGCCAGGCTTCACAGGTACCCACACGTTACGTCACACAAAGCAAGCTCATGAACTCTCTACTACTACTACTACTAGGTGATATCCACCCTCTTTCGCGAATCTCGCGCGTTACGGTCTGTCGTTGCAGTCTTTTTCTTTTCTCCTCTTTTTTTTTATTTTTTTATTTTTTTATTTTTTTTTTCTTAGTGTCTCGAAGGGATCAAGGACAATTCCCTTTGTCTCTTTGCCGCGCGTAATCCTCGTCGTGTGCGTAGGTGTCGTCGTGCTGGGTCACCCACGTTTATAAACGCGATGCAAGCTATTTAAGCATAATGAATAGCGTATACACTGTGCGAACCGCGATTAAATAGCTTCTGATATTCGCGTAGTGTTGCGACTAACCGTTTCGTACACACACAGTGTGCTTGATGAGATTTTCCGATTTTAATATCGCGCTTGTAGTGACGTACTTTTAGTTGTCGATGTTCCACAACTAGAGTAATTGAAACGACCCGCTGTTAATTAAAAAGCGTAGAAGCGCATAAACGACGTAAACTGCTATCTAGTAGTCGCCGAGTATCTTTCTAATTTTCATATCGTACAGTATCTTCATGCTAGTGTCTCGACGAAAGTGTCTCCCGACACGGGGGAACGAAGATTGGACGGTGTGTTTAACTTGTTTTTTTTTTTTCTTTCGTTTCTTCTCATCGCAAAACTTGCGTGCGTGTTGCATTCGACGAACGTGATCCTACCTGGACTAATATCTCTTAGCGAAGTGCGTGAATTGTGAGGAGCACTGCTTGTTTACTAATCACATATTGTTTGCATTTCATCCGATCATCATCGCGAGAGCGTAGAGCGAGTATCCTCCCCAACCCTGAGAACGAACCTGCATGCGAGTCGCGCGTTCTTCGCGCGACACGGTCGTCGTCGTCGGCGTCGCCGGTTGCCGCTTGCATATTGAACATTGGCTTCGCGTTACGTTACTTTTGCATGCGATTTAAGTCATTGTGCCGCCCACGGTAACTCACGTGCAACGCAAGAGAGAGTGAGTGAGTGAGAAAAAGAGAGAGAAAGAGAAAAAGAAAGAAAGAGAGAAAGAAAGAGAAAGAGGGAGAGAAGAGAGAGAGAGGGAGAAAGAGAGAAGGAGAGATGAGGAGTCCTCGTCATTCATTAAGGCCCGCCCCATGGTTCAGTTAGTACGATTGTTTTGCGACGTGTGTTCACATACATCTGTATCATTTTCTTTTTGATGGTGTGGTTCGTTCGGTTTATGGGTTGTCACATTGTCGAAACGTTTCATTTTCGTGTTACATTCATTTACAGATATGCGTCTGACACTCCACGACGAGAATTAGAAGTACCTAGACACGTTTAGTCTTGTACAGCCTGGCTCAGTGTTGTTGTGTACCTTTTTTGTGCGATGTTACCTTTTCGCCCTTTCAGAGGCGAGCTTCTTTTCCGTTTGTAACCTGTCTCGGTATCCCGGAGCTCGCGCACGAGTTGTGAAATCCTCCCCCCGTGTACGCTGCGTCGATTCGCCGGCTCGTTCTTGTCTCTCGTACGTCTATCATGTGACCAACATCTGCTTTGCTGACGATGGCAAAGCACAGCCTAGGGAAGGATTTCACACTATATGCTCCCGAGCGATCGGTTTACATGAGCTTCGTTCAGTGTAATGTAAAAGTGTAAGAGTTTATTATGGTATCTCTCTTCATTTTTTGAGCANTATATATATATATAGTTTGAGCGACGAGCGGACTTGATGAGAGATCAAGCGCGGGAGTTTTATTCATCGTGAAATCACTTCTTCCAGTTGCCAAGTCGGCCTCGAGCGCCACCGTGAAGAAGTCGCAGTCCTTGCAGCAAACCGCCGAGAGTCACCCGTACGACGACAGGTACGTTGCGAGCGATCAGATCTCTCGAAAATCCGCGAACAAATCATCGATTCCAATCGACTCATTCCCGTTCGCGTCGCAGGCGCGCAGGCAGCGAGGAGAGCTTCGTGGTGCATCGCGGCAAGGGCATCCCCACCCTGAGCTCCGTGGCCGACGAGAAGTCCGTAGCCAGAGCTGAAGCCGCTGGTCGGCCGAGCAACTGGGAAGAGCAACGACGGAGCTCATACGCCGGCCGGCGATCCAGGCGGAACAGCATCACCGACGACTCGCAGCTGACGATCGAGAACTTCGGCGGGTCTCAGGTAAGTGGTGCCGCTACGAGTTCCTGTAACAAGAGTTGCGACACAGAGATGATTCTGATTGGTTAAGTTATTGCATACAGCGTATCACAGCGTAACTATAAGGAGTCTCTTTGCTAACTTTTTTTTTTTTTCAATTCACATTTCCCACACAGCAGAAATGCCCCAAATATATTAGATAATCCGAAAAGTTCTGAGAATTTTTGCGACGCTGAGATAAAAATTCCTTGACACTATTGCGAGAGAGTTCACGAGGAGAACCATCTTTCTTCCTTTTGGATCGTTTCTCATTGCTTTCAAATGGGCGGGATATTGTTATTGTTGATTCATCAACTTCAAGCTGCCTTGCAAACTCTTTTAATTGATTTGGGCCGGGCTTTCGTTCAGCAATATTTCCAATTCGTTGTTCCTCCGTCTCGTTTTGACGACCAGAACATGGCTTGTCAGTGACATCGTAATCACCCGTTTCTTTCAAACCACTCCTCACAGACAACGAATTATAAGAATACGAAAAAATTACGAAAACATTAATACTATTGAAGAACGATAATATACCAGTAATGTTTTCATATTCTTGTTGTTTATTTCCGTACGGGAATATAACGCTCTTTAAATATTTATCCATCAGATAAATTTATCCGAAGGCATGGAACAACCGGCCCTCAGTGTTATATTGAAGAGAAGCGCAGAGGATCCAATCTAAATTTGAGGAAAATCAGATCAACACGCGCGCTATTTAGCTAATTATTATTATACGAAAAAAATGCAGTTTGTACAATTAAATAAGCATCAAATACTAAAATTCGATGGCAAGAAAAAAAATGACACTCTGTTACTGAGCCCGTAAATGGGCGCGGCGGTTAGTCGCAACTCTTATTATAGGAACTCTACGACGCGCGCCCCGCTCGTCTCGCTCGTCGTCGCGCGACGGAGAGACCTGCGAGAGAGCGAGCGAGTGAAGAAAGGAGCGGATAGCGTGCCGAGAGAGAAAAGAGGGGAGACAAGCGGTATGATCGAGTGATTTCTTTTATCCAGGATAATTTACACAATTTTGGTAGAAATCCGGATAAAGAAGTAGGGGCGCACATCGGCAAGCGAAGCACCACCGAGCCGACGTTGCCCGCGCGATCCAGCGTCCAGGACGTGTACGGCAGCGGTGTGCAGCATATACTGTCGGACAACGGTTACGGGACCGGCGAGGAGCCGTCGAGGCTGCGACGGCAAGCCTCCAATTCCAGTCTGGATAACGTCGCTCTCAGGCAGATCTTACATTCCAGCGAGAACGACGGCGCGGAAGGCGGCGGCGAGGCGATGGCGGCAAAAATGGCCAGCTTCGCGAACCTGAGCAGGCAGAGCTCGGAGAAGGGGATCAATTTCACGTACATGGAGCAGGAGCGGGAGGACACAGCCGCCAAGTCGAGCCTCACGATGAAGAAGCACGGCCAGAGCAACGGCAACGGCGAGAAGAAAACCACCTTTGCTACGTTGCCCAACACAACCACGTGGCAGCAGCAGAGCAGCCAGCAGTCGCAGCAGATGGAGCAACATTCTGTCGGTAGGTCGCATCTCTCGATTGCATTGGGGACGGTGCGATTGCGATGAGGTGGATTTTTCGAGCGTGAACTCGCTTGGAATTCAGCAAGGATGTACCAAGGATCGATATCCTAAGTTCATTTACTAGGTGCTTACAAAAGTTTGTTAAAGCTAGTTTTATTTATTAATAATTGTTGTTGACTTTAGCGATCTCCTATGACTGTCCCGATGGTAATAGTTCACAATAAAGCATTCCTTCTCATCGGTTAAAGTGCAGTAGCGAAGATGAAATTTATCTAGTTCCATCTTCAGTCGCGTTAATTGTGACGTTTTATTCGGAACTATGAATTGTCAACTATCAAATAATTCTGATCCAATATGGCCAACATTTAAACTAAAAAGCAACTTAAAAGAAAACAGTTACTAAGTCGCTGATAAGTCATCTATTTGTGACTTTATGAACTTTTGCAAGCACCTAATATATTAACATAATATTACAGTGTAATATAGAGTAATGCAATAACTATTACTATCTTGAATATCTGTGGAAAGTAAAATTTTATTTTGACATATTTTACTTGATATTTTATAAATGAAATATTAGTTATAATAATATTTTTGTATAGACTTTTATATAACGCGAGGTAATAACTGTTACCACTTTGAATATATTTAGAAAATAAGATTTTATTTTTAATTTTTCTTATCTGATATTTTATAAATGAAATATTTTTTATAGTAAAATTTCCTTTCTTTTGTATAAAGTGTTACATAGAATAGAACAATAACTGTTACTGCATTTAATATCTTTGAAAGATAAAAATATTTTCTCAACGACTGGATAAAGAGTTTACATTTACGGAGAAAGTATTCGAAATGCTGACATTAATGTCTCTCTCAATGCGCAGTTCCTGTTAGATCAATTTTTCTCCAATTCGCACATTTCGAAAATATTCAATGTGAAAATACACGGAAAAAGCAATTCCGTTGGTAACTGAATGTTTCATTACCTGGATGGGACCAGATAGAAACTCGGTTGTAGGAACAAAAAAATTCCCGTAGGAAGTTTCTACTCAGCCAATTGCCCTCGGTTGTCTCAACCGAGTTTTAATGCAGCTGAATTTTCACACGAATGTTCTCAGTTGCGATAACAGAGATATCAGCTTTTCAAGATGTATTTTTTTCTTCTCACACATGGAAAAAATCTCCGTTCGTGTAATTGAATTAGAAATCAGACGAAAATTCGATGAGATAACATCTCCGTCGCCGTGAGACCGAAAACATTCGCGTGTATATTCAGCTGCATTACAAATTCATAAGAACTGAGTTTTTTTTTCGTATAATTATTGCCTCATCCTTCACATTAGCCGATGTATATTGCTGTAACGTGGATTCGCTGTCACTTTATCGAATTTTTAGAAATACATCTTTTTTAACGGTAGATGAGAACGGTGGCAATACTGTGATGGCCTCGCAGCTGAACAACATCCGGCTCAAGCTGGAGGAGAAACGACGACACATCGAGAACGAGAAGCGGCGGATGGAGGTGGTGATGTCGAAGCAACGGCAGAAGGTGGGCAAGGCGGCGTTTCTGCAAGCGGTCACGAAGGTAAAAAAAAATCATGGGATCTGTCTAAACGTAATTCCGTCGGACTGTGTGACACACACGCACACACACACACACACACATACACACATATTGTGACCTACTTAAGCGTGTCATTATCGTTATCGATTCGGTCATCAGCTCCACCACTTCATCGTATACACGTATCATCGTCATGGTCGGAACTTGAATGCTTTGTTTCTTTGATAAGACGACGATGAGAGAGGGTTACAAGCGCGAAATCGATGCGTTCAAGTTCGCCGTGGATCATCAAACGTGTACCATCGAAACACAACATCAAGATCTGCCATGCTGCGCGACAGCTACTTTCCGAATCTAGGCACGGGTGTTTAGTATAGAGAGTGATAGTGTGACTCTACTATGTCTCTCTCTCTTTCTCTCTTTTTCTGAAAAGAAATACCGAGTTTCTTTTTCTTCCGCCTTTTTTTCCGTTTTTCACGTTTATACATCGTTAGTTGCGGCAGACTGCGCTACGAATTGTTCGATGTCGCTTGTACAGATGTAAAAAGAACATTCGGTTTTGAAGCTTTTGTAGTCTCATTCGCAAAGTAGATGTAAAGTGTACGATTGCTCATCTCTCTCGCTGAATTTTATTTGTACAGCTCATTTCTCCGGTATCACTGTTATCTTGGCACATTCGAGGTAGATTGGTCTTTTTTCTTCCATTCGATCGCTTGTATATAATGCAGGATATAATCCTCTTTTTATTTGCGCTGTAAATAATTTACCAGCCATGTTGTCTTAACGTAATTCTCTTTCTGACATTTCAGCTATACTTGGTGGTAAGCGCATGTTGATACACTAAATTTCCGTATTGCAGAGTTGAATACCTCTCTATCTGAATCACACTTTCTGCGTGAGCAGAAACTGTCAGTTTGTCGCAATGCAATCTGAATGCAGTTTTGACTTAGCGATTGACAATCTATTCAAAATAATATCAATATCTTGGAACTAAAGCGACTAATGTCACTTCGGATTATACATGCGAAAGAATACCACTTTTCACATTTTTCTCTCCTTCTTATGTTATAACAAAGGAAAATATATGCGATTTTACCTTTGATTTCGTTCATTCTGATATCCGTTTTAGTTCCAAAATATTGACAGAATCGTGAATGCAATCGGTATTGAAGAGTAGATAGGTTCATCATGGTCAAGAGCACTGCATGCTATCTCACACAAACGAACAACACATGTTTCTATTTTTTCTCTTCCAACTTTTTTTCACGAGAACAAAAGTTCTCACGTGTACGATGAATGATTTTAAGTTTGAAAAGAAAGATTCCGCGTATAATGTATTAGCCATAGTAACGTATCAATCGTGTCGTTCTTTCGTAGTCTTAACACTCACGGTGATTGCGTGAGATGTACTGATATCTCGAGATACTTATATTCAGGGTTGGGTAATGTAACTTGTTCATCAACGAAAATCAATGAAAAGTTAAGTTAAAAAGTTGACCACTTTTAATTTTAAGTGAGTTTCTAACTCTTTTAACTGAAACTTTTTATTGGTAGTAACTAGTTATTTTAAATGTATTAATTTTAGCTTATTTATACCTTTTTTTTATATAAATTGAAATAATTCATCAATATGAAAATCATTGTGAGCTGTTTACAATAGAGAATGAGAAGATTATTAATGCAAAAAACATATACATGGTTTTGCACGATTAACTTTTAATTTCAGTAAGTTAATTTAATTTTAACTTAACTTTTAATTAAATTTAGTTTTCGTTTAGATAACTTTAACTTAATTAAGTTGATATTATAGGTCATTAACTTTCAACGTAATTAATCGTAAATTAACTTACCCAACCCTACGTATATTTGATTTTGATTTCACGCCCACGCACATTGTGACTGATTCTTTCACCATTTTTGCAATCAGTTGAAAAATCAATAGCAAGATAGCGAACGAACATTGTATATTTGTTAGTTTAAGTCGTTGCTCACAATTAAACGTGGCTTGAGAGCCACTTTCTCTCTCTCTCTCTCTCTCTCTCTCTCTCTCTCTCTCTCTCTCTCTCTCTCTTTCTCTGGATGGGCTTTGCGCTTGAGTGTAACTTGAACTTTGGCCGTGGGGAAGACACTCGACTGTGGTGATTTGGTGATTTGGTGGCGGACTCTGAGTACTTAACAAGGCACGCTGGTTGGGCTGGTTGCAGGGTAAGGTTAAATCTCCCTCTTCGTCAACGTCCGGGGGGGACAGTCCGGCCGAGATCGGTCCCCCCACTCCTGTAACCTCCGGATCTTCCGGGGAGACCCCGACGAGCGTTTCCGAGGCGTCCTCTGTACCCCAACAACCCCCTCAAGAAAAACCACAGAGACCCTTCTCGCTCAAGGTACGATATTACTGCTCTCGCAGCGCAAGCGTTTCCGTAGACGAGACGTATTCGTTCTCCTTAATAAGACTAATTATATTTAATATTCTCTAGAGAATTACATTACACGCGCTTATGAATGGCTTTCGAACGTCGGTTGAGTCCTTTTATTCTGTCTCTTTTTTTTTTTCCTTTTTGTTTTCTCATCTTTGCTGCGCAAACGTAGCACGAAAGGACGAAGCGTGTCGAGGCGATTATTTTCTACCTTTTGATGTTTAGACAATCCGAGGCGCGCAAAAGCGATGTGTACGAAGTGTGTACGGCCGCTNATATATATATATATATATATATATATATATATATATATATATATATATATATATATATATATATATATATATATATATATATATATACATACATACATACATTTATTACCCTTTCAGTAGAGATTATATTACCTTTAATAAAGGATGATCTCATTATGCTTCTTGACGCTTCTTTTCTACTACATTGTAGAAGAAAACGAAACCTTACATCGATGATAGGGGATAACTTGCTCTATATAATGACATCGGTGCACATTTCTCTTGAGCATTCCCCTAATACAAAATGCCCCCCGACATGCATGATGCGATACTAAATACTTCCTGGAAAAAGAGTAGCCTTGTACTCACCGGTGCTGGGCAATTGGTCTTACTTGAATTCACCTGAGAACTCAATATCTCAACACGATAACTCTTTCATCCACTAACAGGAGAAACCTAACACTTTTTAACATGTACATAATATACATACATACATACGTACATACATGCATACATACATACATACATACATACATACATACATACATACATATATACATATGTATCTCATATTTCCTGAGCGAGCGTGCTGAAGTAGACTCACCTGTAACCTGATTTAATTTCGCCCTCTCAATTACGTGTCGGCGGTCCGTTGCGCCTCTTTAGCGGCGGATCGTTTGAATTCGACACGTGTAATTAGCGAGCGTGCCGCGGGTCTCGAACTTACCGGCTCGGAGGACTTGGGAGGGAAATCCGAGAGGAGCGGGCCTTGACATTGTTCCCAGTTGCGCGAGATATTGATCAAACAGACGGATAAATGTCGCTTCTATAGATCACCGTGTGTCACCAAGTTTCCAGCCGAATAATCAAGCGTGTGAAATCTATTGTTGTCCGCGGCTTGTCAATTATTTCGGACGGACATACGGCGGGATTCGTTCGGCCACGCGGAATGTTCTACTCGTACTTACCCCCGGTAAATGTGCAGAGCGCGTTGCGTTACCGATTAACGGAGAACGTCCGCTCGATCGCGTACGCGTGAAACGCGTGAGCGCGAATCGGCGTTCGAGTTTCTCTCGTAGGGAAAAAATAGATCGCGCAAAGACTAAGACGGAGTCGTCCGTTCGTTTCCGTTACACTGCGGTAATTGCACACACGCGAACACATATATAGAGATATATGCGTATCTTACGTGTATTAACAGCGGCGTAATCTCTTTCTGAGGCTCTTCCGTTTCTCTGATAACGAATCTAGGAAATTAGCGAGGATGTGCGGGACGTCGAGCACAAGTGGCTGGAGCACGACGGTAACGCGCCGTTCATCGAAACCAGACGCACCCCGGACATCGAGAACATGGATCCCGAACAGTACCGTCAATCTATAACGCAGTTAGTATCCGTTCTCAATGCTTCTCAGAAAAAAAAAATGACGGTGGAAAGATACGCGCGTATGTGTATTGTCAATCACAAGAAAGTTGCGACACTTTTTTTTATGAGTTTCGCAACGCATCCCGTATCTAAATAGAAAAAACGGTCTCTGTCTAATAAGAACGTGACCGACATAACTTTTAATTCACTTATAAAAACCGTTTAAGTTTAATGAAATTTAATCTAATTTAAATATTAGCATCTCTTTTGTGTTTATAATGAATCCTCTTTTGTCCTATATCTGCGTATACAGTTTAAATGTTTAATTATATTACTCTGATATTTATAGCACACTGATTTTATGATCAGTACGATATTCAATATTGAAGACGACGATTTCGTGTTAGGTGTAATTTTGCTTAATTAAGATATTGATTTTAATAAATTTATAAAAGAGTTGCATCTCGTCTGTCGCAGAATGAACAACAGCCTGAGCGAGATCCAAGCGGACATTCAGCGCCTGACAAGCCAGCAGAATCAGATCCAGCAACAGCACCTGATGACGCAGCACCAGAAGCAGATGCAGCAGCAGCTCCAGCAGCTGCAGAGCCTCAGCCAGCAGCACATGCAGGTACTTCATCTGGTGTCGCGCGAAATGTCTCTTTTCCGGCCGAGTCGCCATCACGGACTGCTGTCGGTTTTACTTACCTTTCTGACTTTCCTCCCTGCAGAGCTACGGAATGCCGCCGCCGATCAATCCGCTGACGCCTCGACTACAGGATACCCAACAGTCGCAGTTCTACCTGCACGACCAGCCGCAGATGCAGAGGAGAATGTGGGGTCAGCCGCCGCCACCCCAGAGCTTGGCTAATGAGATGGCGGCGGTCGGTTATCAGCAGTCCATGGATTCTCGATTTAGTCCCCAACCTGCCGGTGAGTTATTCGCCGATTATCGGTGATAATCTCATCGTCGAGTTATTACTGCTCGGAGAAAGAACGAGCAATTATCACAGAAGAAGAAGCAAACTGGCCCTAACCATTTTCACTTCGGTGTGGCTATTTCTCTTTGACAACCAGTCAGCAAGATGTTAGCAGTTACCGGCAAATTGGCAGCAGATTCGATAGGAATATCACAGCAGATCCACAGCCATTGTCATTAAGTTTGTGTTCTGTCGAACAGAGCCTGCTGGCATAACTCGACAGCAGGTTGATGGCAAAAACTGAGCAGGATCTGTAGGATGTTCCACGATGATTTTAATGATAATTATATAGTTACGGGACGAGAGATTCTGCTCGGTTTCGCCGTCAATCCGTCATCGTGCTCTGCTAGCCAGCTTGCCGACAAAATTTACAGTAGACGCTGCGCGTATTCTCCAGATTTGGCTACCCGAGTGCAGTTATGGGGATGTCCTGTCGTCCTGACTCTTCCAAACTTTCCCTAAATATCAGGTATAAATAACAGACATAAAGTACAGTCCCAAATTTCAGACAGAAAGGCGCGTTGGGAGTCTGACTGAACACAACGAACTTTAATGGTGGTTGGAAACGGTGGCCTGTTCAGAGTTAATTTATTTTTTACGAAATAGCTTGCGTTTGAAGTTAGAAGAAATGAACACGTAACGATACGACGTAACGTTTGAATCTCTCTCTTTGCTCAGCTTATCAGCAGGACATGCGCATGTACGCGGACCCCACGAGGACTTGGGCGGCGCCGCACCCGACGCAGAAGGGGTTCGTTTTGCACGACACTCAGGAACCGAGGTACCTCAACGGTGGGGATCATAGTCTGTGTAATAATCAAATGAGCCACCCCGGCCCCACGTATCCGGCGTCTTCATCGCTCTTCAACCAAACACAAGCCTCATCAGCTAGTCCACAGCATCGTAACGCCGTAAGTGTGCCGCGAGATATCGCGATCTCCGTCTCTATCTCTTCTCTATCTCTTCTTTTTTCATCTCCATTTCTTCTCTATATTTCTCTATTCTTCTCTTCTATCTCTTTTCTTTATCTCTTCTCTATGCCTTCTCTTCCCTATTTCTTCTCTATCTCTTCTCCCCTCTTTTTTTCTCTTCCTCTCTCTCTATTTCCTTTTCCCTCTTCTTCTCTTTTCTTCTATTTTTGTTCGAGTACCACACGTACGTACGTAGCCGGTTGCAATTGTCCTTAAGTTCGGCGGCGCACTCACAGAAATTGATCTTATAACGCTGCCCGCCCAATCGTTCTCGTCATGCTTCTATTTATGTTTACACAAATAGCTTCTCTGCATACAATACACGCGACGCGTATGACGGCATCGCTTCTCGTTACGAAAGGTAGAAAGACCAGGCCGACACGTCGAATGCTGCACCCAGCGGCGACTCACGTGTCTGTGAGAGTGAGGAGCCGTGCGACTGCACGCTCGCGGTGTGTGCGTCGCTCATCAATTCAATTTGGTCACTTCAATACGAAGGATCGGCTCGTGCGGCCGCTCCGGCGTCGTACGTGTACGTACTGCGTGCGGGAACCAGTTGGTGATGTAATGCACGTTTATAGACGCGCGTTCTTGACACCCAACATGGCAGACGCTGCCCACACCGGCGGCAAGCTAGGCGTTCCGCGGCTTGGATCTTACTTCGAACTTTCCCCGAGTGATCTCTTAATTTGAATAACATGTATTTCTTCAGCTCGTCGGCCTCGTCGTCTTCGTCGTCGTCGTCGTCCATCGTAACGACGCGCCTTTGCTTCAACGAGGTTCGCTTTGGCTCGTTTGTTTCAGCTTTGACGCGCGTTTGCGATTGAAGTGTGGTTATATGCGCGAAGGAAGGATCGGTTCGTCGGGATCTAACGGGGGAATTAGTGTCGCAATGTTATGACGGTGTCCCCAGTATTTCCACGCGACGTTGTTTGACTTCTCTATTAGGAGAGAGAGATATTAGTTGATAGAGAACACACCTGTCTCACGCTACATTCTGTGACGATTATATCTCGGCCGTTTCAGGTTCATCGAATAAGTCAGTTAATTAGTGAAAGCCCCGAACCCAAGAGATCGACTGTACATCATATCCCGATCTCATGTGAAAGCCCGACGGAGAAGAGGCAGGTGACCGCCTTGCACACTCCGGTACCAGCCCCGCCCGCCGATGACATGAAGCCCCAGAATATATCCTTTATCGGTAATTATATAGTTTGAAAGAAAAAAACGCTTCTTTCAATTTTTTCCACGGAGGAAACCGGAAGAAATGGAAACATTTTTCCCCATTTTTCTCATTCGCTCGCGGAAAGAAACTGAAAAAAAAGCCGCGGAAAATTTAAGGGAGAAAATTTTGTTCCCTTTAAAACTATATAAGCAAATTATACATCAAGCTGCGAGATATTTTTCGCTTTGTTCTTACAATATATATATTACATAGTTATCGCCTTACCCTGTATAAAATGAGGGAATTAACGTGCTCGAAGAAATTAAATTTCATGCAAGAAGTCGTTTCCTCCTCACTCCGCGTGTATATCAGTCCGAGAGGAAATCTTTGGGGAATTTTCATATTTTCTCACAAACTTTTCTACATTTATTCTATATTTATTCTTCTATATTTTTTATTATATATATTCCATACTTATTCTTTTCTATATTTTGAAGGCAACGACGACGATATCGCGCAAGGCATTCGCGGCTTGAACATTACGTCGGGCAGTCGTACGTATAGAATACCATCGCCGACCAGACCCACAATATCGCAGAACTCCTTCCAACCTCATCCGTCATTGAGAGAAGCAGCTTCGTCACGTTCGGCGACTCCAGACGTCACACCTCTCGATCCCACGGACGCGGGCGAGAAAGGGTTCTACATATCCTTCGACAATGACACCCCCAAGAAGCCGAAGCCGACCCTCAGAGTGAAGAGATCGTCACCCAAGAAGGTGAGCGACGTAGAATCATCCTATCACGTCGATGTCTTGGTCATATGAAAAATTCTCTAAAAGTTTAAAGTATCTACAAGATATCGAGAAAATAAGTTTCTTTACCATAAAAAAGTTTCCCCAAGTCTATTAACTCTCCTCGAAGACGCGCGTTGGGATCTCCCATCTTGGACGTGCGTCGGGAATACTTCGACGCTCTAGTTATCAATTGTCTATTTATAGTCTATCACGTCGAAGCACGATCTTAGTCCGTATGAAATATGACGATTGAAATGTATATTGTTATCATTCACGTTACGTATTAAACGGTAAACACTCGCGTCCGCGAAGGATTAATATTCAATGTGGCGCAAACGTGTCGGGCTGCGTATTATACTATGTTTCTGACGACGAACTGGTGTTCTTTCAGGACCGGAGCGTGTCGTCGTATATCGAGCACGAAGACTTCACAGTGCGGTCGGAATCGCCTCCCGCCAGCGCAGTCGAGAGGCAGAAACAGTTGGAGGCTCAACGGGAGCTGGAGCGGGAACGAATGCGGCAAGCCGAGGAGAGAGAACACCAGAGGCAAGAGATGAGAGACAGGGAGCTCAAGCGGGAGATGGAGAGGAAACGGCAGAGGGAGAAACAGCGAGACGGCAGTGCGGAAGGCCGACACTCCTCCGGGGTTGGTCTGGTCATCGGCAACCAGCTCACGAATCCCGATCCGGTACGTGCTATAATAAATATTACTATTAATATTTATTATTACTATTATTATTATTATTATTATTCTATTAGCAGTAGTACAGTGTATTAGTATTATTATATTATTACATTAGTATCGGTATTATTACTGATATTATTAATATGAATAATATTATATATTATTTATATAAGAGTAATAATTCGAGTTATAGTAATGATAATATTATTATTATTATTATCACTTATTAATATTACTAGTTACCTCATAATAATATGACAGTTCAATCTTGTTCCCTTTATTCTCTTATTTCTTTCATTCTAATTTAGATTATTTTAAACCGTATTGTATCAAAGGGAATGATTCCCGTAAATAAATAATTTACATCGTTGCATAGTATATTATGTAAATTCTTCGTGCGCGAACCGTTCTAATCGAGCGTCTTCCGTAGAATTCCATGGACGAGATGGAGAAGAAGAAAGAGAGGATAATGCTGCTGTCGCTGCAGAGAAGACAGAGGCAAGAGGAGATGAAGGAACGAAAGGAAGCCGAGGCCCAAGCGCGCCGGGAACAGGAGAAGCTGAAGGCGGAGGAAAGAGCGCGCAAGAAAGAGGAAGAACGACAGAGAAGAGCCGCTATCTTGGAGCATCATAAGGTGAAGAAGGCGATAGAGGAAGCGGAGAGAGAAGTAAGTGCGTTTTGAAAGGAACGAGAGATCTCGCACGGGAACGAGTAAAATATATTTTCTAGCGGTTCGTCGATACATAGACGAGTTTACTGTGTGTGTATCTGAGCCGTTTTCACTCTCGAGTTAATACTGCAATTCTGTTTGCAGGGTAAGGTAATTGATAAGGAGCTCCTGAATGCAATAAATCCAGCGAAATTACGTAACAAGACTGCAACCGCTCGACCACGACCGAAAACGATTCACGGCGACGCTGGCGCGGTGTTGGATTCCGGGGCGCTCACACCTAGTCGCGGGAAGAAGGGTTCTTCTTCCAACCTAAGTACAGGTTAGTCCGCAGTAGTAAATTATACTCCCGCAGCAAGCGAATAACCTGTTGCGACGATCGATGCTTCTCGGGGATTAGAAGACACGTAGATAGGAGTCGTAGAAATAGACTCGAGCGTTCGTTAGCGGCAATGTCATCATCGTCGAAAGTAGCGGCGGAATAGAATAGAGAAGAAGATACATATCTCTTCAGTTCGTAGATTCTCGGTCGTTGACTCGTTAATCCCCGGAAACATAGATCGCTGTTGTTGTGACACAGGTGCATTCCCCTCCCCGTTGTAATAATCTAATAGCAACAGTTTCCTCGATGTTGTACTTGTGGTTTTGCATTTATTCTCTGCATGACGAAGATTTTACGATCAGAACCGTCTCTTCCCTCCTCCTCTTTCTCTCTCTTTCTCTCTCTCTCTCTCTCTCTCTCTCTCTCTCTCTCTCGTAATCTCTCAGTGACATCACGCTATATTGCTGTGCATTGATTATTTTTGTTACCTTTTTTTTTCCGTTTTAATTGGTTTTACTTTTTTCGTTGACGAGTCCTCATCACCCAAACCACATGTTCACGAGCTCCAGATTTTCTCGTCTGTGTTAGTTTTACCGCTGATTTATCGAGAACGCGTCGATGTCACGTAAAAGACCGCCTACTAAAGTACGCGCGCACGTCCCGATCGCGACCGATAGTGTCAGAGTCGCGCCGAGGGGAAACTAGAATAGCACAGAAAATCTCGAGCCGATTGTTTTGCACTAACACACTTACTGTAGCGTCGCTGACCTCTCCGACGATGAGGCGAGACTACTACCGAGGCTCGCAGGATAGTCTCACTGCTGCCCATCTCGATGACCGGCGTTCCGGCCCTCTTTATCGGGGCGGCAGTCTCAGGGGTACGCACCACACACACTCTCTCTCTTTCTCTCTCACACTGCATTTATATCCGATACAATACACACCCGCTGTAATTTTCCTTTTTCTTTCTTTTTTTTTTCTCCAAAAATTCCGCGTGCAGAAATGATTCCGCAACAGTTGAACTCGGATCCGATCGAGATCTTTGCTTGAGGAAAAACGAAGAAATGACAATGCACTTTGCGAATATATAGACAGGAAAATAAACGTTGTGATCGTAGAGAAAAGATCGTTTGGCAAAGTCGATATCGGTTGATATGATTATTATTATTCAAGTTAAACGAGCATTGAATTTCGTGATTTTTCCAATTTGAAGAAAGAAGAGTCTTCTCGCAGATAGATTTTACTTTAAAGATCGTACATCTGGTCAGTGAAATGAGACGTCTATACAGAATGTTACATGACATGCCGTATAAACTTAAGGAGTATATTTCTGGTGTAAATTGAAATAGGAAATATCTTGTAGACAAATATCTTCTAATTCAAAACCGTTGCCCATTTAGAACTGATTAAGGTTTACAAATAATAATATTTTTTTTAGAATTCTTTTCATTAAAAGTGGAGAATAAGAAAGAAAACAAAGATTAAAGAAGGAATCGAAAAAAAAAGGAAACGTGTAATGACGCATGTGCGGAATATTCTCCGGACAAACATGCACGGTGAATCAACCTTTACACGCTTAAACCGATCCTTCAGTCTTGGTAATATTATTATAAATTCTAATTTTGTTAAAACCTTTACCTAAATGCTAAATTAATTAATAAACAATTTTTCGATTCCACTTATCATATCATATTGCGAAAAATATTGCTACTAGCTAGGAGTCTGATCTGGATCTCCCGGCTATTCGAGCGAGGCGCTGTATCAATTCGCTCAGCGTGTAATACGAGTTTTTAGACACCGATTGCTGCAAGGAATCGAGGTCTCTCAGCAATCAGTGTCTATAAACTCGTATTACACGCTGAACATTTTTATTTTCCCATGATAATATTAATATTGACAATATTAATTAAATGGCATTATAACATATATCCTTGCTTTGGTCTCTCTCTCCTTCTCTCTCTCTCTCTCTCTCTCTCTCTCTCTCTCTCTCTCTCTGTTCTTTCTGTACCATTTTCGGGACGGCCTTATTTAATAAAGATTAGAGGTTGTGAAACCTTTATGATGATATAAAAGGAAAGTGTTTTCTTTTTAATATTCGAATTGAATTAATACAGCATATTAATATCGTTTGTGAATAAATAAAAAGCAATCATGATGTTCGTGCGACTATTCAATCCATTTTAGATCGCACCGTATATCAATTGTGTATTAATGCCGAAGAACATTAATTTGAATAATTTCTGTAATCCTTACGTTTCCTCCTTTATTTTCCCCTATTTTTAACAAAAAAAAAAAGGTATACAAAATATTTTATAAAAGAATGTTCCAGAAAATTGCGCTATTATTTATAAATTCATAAACAATTGTAGATGGATAACTGTTTCGAATTGGATTCGTGTTCATGGAACATATTCAACTTTAATTTACATCAGGAACACGCTCTTTAAGTTTGTACAATATGTCATATAACATTCTGTATTTGCAACACGTTTTTCTCTCTCTATCTTACAATTTATTTCGAAAAGTTCACTGCACATCTTTTTACATTTTTCAATTTGGCATGCCGTGTATCTCGATGTTTACCGATGTTAGCGAGCGCATTTTACTCGATCTAGTTATATATATATATATATATTTATATTTATATGTAGAGTATAAGAATGTCTGGAGTGAATTGTAACCGATTGTAATTGAGGCACCGTATTTTAGTATCTTCCGTAGATTCTCCCGACGACGGTAGGGGCTCCTCGCCATGTCGCAGCGTGAACCAGCTCGGTCGACGCGGCTCCTACAAGACTTCGAGAGGTGGGTGTTCGATGTTGCGCAGAATTAGACGCGGCATGCCGCATTTACGCTGTACACTGTATGAACGACTGTTCGTTTCTTAAACGTGTTTGGCTTGACGAAAGTAGACTCGTTGCAGGATGTATCACACTGGTATGGGCAGAGCCTAATCTCTCTATCCGAGTATTACGATGTTGTTTGAAACATGTTGTTTGATTAGCCTTTATAAATTATTCCTCCCCTAGTCGGGCGGCTGAGCGAGGTCATGACACTTTGCGAGGGTATGACTGTGTTCTTCTTTTCGGTTTTTCTCTCCTTTTTTTACGTATTTTTTTCTCGATTTTTTTTTAAATTTAAGTAGCGCCTCGTAGTTGGACGTCTTTCGGTTTGGAACGCAACGTTATTCTGCACCAAAAACTGCACCGGCCACTTCAGTTCTCGATGTACCTTCTCCCCCTTCTCCCCCTCGGATTTGGCTCGTAGTTAGACACCCCGTCGGTGTTCCAGTTTCCCCCTTCTTTCCCTGAGCCTTCTCCCTCGCCCTCATACTCGCCCTTCTCCTTGGTCCCTTCCTCTCCTTCTCGATGATGCGTACGATTGAAGCATCTCCTCACCCTAACTTTACTTAATCACCTTTCGTATGGCGTTATGAGTGTAACGAGGCATACGTTGCGTTATTGCAGATGCGCAGGAGTCTCAGCAACAGGTTAGAGGCAGGCCTAAATACCAGACTTACCAAAACTTTAAGGGGAGAAAGTCTAATTCCCTGATGAATTTGTGCGGTAAGAAGCACCACAGTGACTTGGAAATTACGTTCGATCCTTTCCCCCCTTTTCTCTCGTGCAACAGTCTCGATATTACATACATATATATGTGTCCCGTTGTACATACATGATATCTGAATATCGTACATCTCTGTGTATATTATCACCGTCCCGATTTTCGTAGGCAGTATAGCATACGTACACGCGCACTCACACGCACACATATACGTAGTGGCATGGTGGCAGGCTGGAAAGCGCACACAGGTGGCAGCGGTACTTATATATATATATATACATATTTTTTCATAAATGTATATGTGTATATCTAGAGGAGAAATCATCCATACGCATATCGATCACATGCATTTTTCTTTTTTTGTATACATTAGCAAAGTTCCACCGACGTGGCTTCTCGCTCTCTCTACCCCTGTCCCTCCACCACGGAGGGGGCAGCGTCTTGATTTTTTTTTCTGTGTCTCTCTGTGGAGCTTTTACATTTCCCGGGGCGCGAGCAATGTGCCGGTCACGTGCATACTTATGATTTGCGAACGATGGCTTCCTTTCCGTTCTTCCCAACCACCCCCTGGCTGTCGTCGAGGCGGAACTTTGTATTATTCTCTCAGTTTTCCTTAGGATCTCACTCATTTTGCGCTGCTGCTGCTGCTGCTGCTCGTAGAGAAGGCTCGGTTGAGGCTTGTTTTGGGCTTGTTGTACAGCACTGGTTGTGGGATGTCAAGGTGTTTTTATCGTCGGTCGCTGTTTCTTTCAAATTTATACCGTTCTCTCTCTCTCTCTCTCTCTCTCTATCTCTATCTCTCTCTCTTTTTCAGTGGCTATTGTGGTATTTTACCCCATCTTTCAAGTTTAACCCTCCCATGTTAATGGATGGTGATCTCTAGGTGTCCTATATCTTACCGTTACCGATCTCCCCCGTCCTCTCTATCTCTCTTTCTCTCATCTTGGATACCCATGTGATCCCGCTCTGTCCTCTGCGCTCATTGTTTCTCTTTGCAGGTATACCGTGGCACGGCGAGTATAGCAAATTCAGCGTGAAAAAGAAAGAAAACACGCACACATTCGGAGGAAAAATATCTAAGAATTGAAAATATCTTTTCGGCCGGTACAATACCTAAACACATAATACATTTATTTAATCTATCACATCTACTTAAAACTAAATTCTTTTATTTAAATAGAATAAAAAATTGCCATTATGCGAAGCTACAGATTTAAGAAAATGTATATTTTCTCACTTGAAAAATGTTTCTCATTATAAAAATATGTATATTTGTATAAGTAATACGTATACATAAATACACATGCGCGTGTTACTACATATATATTAATATAAAATATACAGGGTGTGTTGAAGTTCCCAGGAAAATGTAGATGTCACATAGGTTTCAGGATATTTTATTGAAACTTGGTAAACTCAGGTGTAAGCTTATAACACAATGATGAACAAAAAAAATCTTCTACCATTTTACAAACAACATGCAAAATTTCGAGTTACTAATTATTGAAAATGGCCATTTATAGGGGCTTGTTTAATTAATAACTCAAAAATTTGCATGTTATTTGCAAAATGATGCAGGACTTTTTTTGTTCAGAATAATTTACAAGTATATGACAGCTATTATATTTAGCGACAGATTCAAGGTTCGAAGTTCAAAGCTCAATATACCGATGTTGCTTACAAAATAATATAGGACCTTTTTGTTCATTTCAATCCGTTCTACGTGCTCATGAAATTTGTCCACCGGGTTCTGGGACACCCTGTATATATAAATATATTGGTATAAGTAAATATGTTTTCAGTACTTGCCGAATAAAAATATTTTTCTTCTTAAGTTATTTTTTCTCTCAGTGTAGCCTAGACGAAGTGTCCGTGCACTCCGGACTCCGTGCTGACCCCTCGTGCGTCTCGGTGTGACGATGAACTTGCTATATGTCCGTCGTACCCCCGATGTCAGCGACGACAAGCGAACGTCTCGTTATCGTCGTAGCAAGATCGTCTATTTAGCCGCAGAGTTCGCGAAATGAACAATTAGAAGAAATAGCGAGTCGTCGCATTAGTGTCAAACTGAAGATTCCATCGGGAGCTAGATTAGAAAGAACTGTCATTGTCAACGCGATTAGAATCATCTTAGCTCAGTCAGCAGCTCGACAAGCTGATAGATGCGAACTTTGTTGACCCCCATTATCAATAAAACATGTTTGATTGTCGTTGAGTAATCCGCCAAAGAGAGCGGTCTTTCGGCACAAATCACAACGACGGACGTTCGCGATCTCCTTCGTGGCACACCTGTAACACGTGACTAATTCTTCTCGTTTTCTCGAACGTGATGGCTAACTGTTAACGGACAAACCCGGAAGGTCTCTCTCTCTCTGTATTCTGATTTGTCTTGGGCTTGGGCTGGCGAAAGAGGCGAAAGGAACAAGGGAAAACGGGGTGTGGAAATTCGGGCGGGAGCGGAGCCTCGTGAGCGTTTTCGCGCACGTTCCTCTCCGATCGGTTTTTATCGGCGTATGTGTACGAAGCGTACGTTCGCACTGCGCGAGTAATGATCAAGACTGTATGGTGTGTCGGCATACAGATTCGGACAGCGGCCTGGGCAGATCGACGCCGCCGAGACGAGCCGCCAGTCCGGGCATAGGCAGCATGAGGCACCTGACGTCACCCTCGGGACCTGGCTCGCTACCACCAGCCTTGATGACGTCCAAGAAGAGGGTGTACGACGACGGCAGCAGCGACATCAGCAGCACGCCCAGCTCGATGATGGATTACAACGGTGAGTGAGACTGCCATTAGTTGGTTCCTGTAAATTAATATTCTTAGGTATCTTTTCGAGTTCTTATCGGCACATGTTAATAAGAAAAGTACAGCAGACTCCATTAATATTACTCCATCCCTTAGACATAGTGACAACGAAAATTTACAATCAGGAGCATTATTTGTGCATTACGACTGTTGATAATTTGACGAATTCGTGTAACGATTCTTCAACAAGCAGCATTCGTGATGCATTAATATTCTAAAATAACGCGCCTAATTGGAAATTTTCTTCAATGTTACTAAAAACACACCTAGGGGATGGGACAACGTTAATGGAGTCTGCTGCATAGGATGAGGCAATAACTATTACCACCTTGGATATCTTCGAAAAATAAAAATATTTTATTAAAGACTAAGGGTGGAGATGAAAATAGCTTACATTTGCAGATATTCGAAGCGATGACCATCAATGCGATATTCCTGTTAGATAAATTTGTCTCCCACTCTCAACACGAACATATTCAAAGTGGTGATAGTTATTGTCTTATCCTAGACATGTTATATAATGTTATATAATTTGTTACAATTTGTGATATATGCCAAATACTGGATGATGTATAAATTGAGACGCGTCAATATTGTAGCACTAGCAATTGGTGGACTTTCATTGGTAGGCAATGTGTAAAGTAGCGAACGTATCGAAAAAGGGTTCCAGAGAACCCGTTCAGTCTTGATGTTGAAGTCAAGAGTAGCCTCGGAGTCGAAGGGAGAGCTTGAACTGATCGAATGTTTGTTTTGCAGGCCCGCGACTGTATAAACTGCCGATAGCGAAGTCGAATCGCAACATTATGCTGAACGCCGTGGAGTACTGCGTCTTCCCCGGAACGGTAAACAAGGAGGCCAAGTCGAGAGTTTTGGAAGAGATCGGGAGGTCCGAGAGCAAGCACTTTCTCATCTTGTTTCGGGACGCCGGCTGCCAATTCCGCGCTCTCTATTCCTACTGTCCCGAGAGGGAGGAAGTAGCCAAGTTGTACGGTACTGGGCCCAAGCAAGTCATTGATAATATGTTTGACAAGTTTTTCAAGTAAGTGCTAATTCTCGGGATAGCGCCTCCTCATGGTCGACTTTCTCGAGTTTCACATTAATTCTGCATTCACGTACTTTTAATCTTTTCAGGGGTAAATTTGTTAAAAGCGGAGACGAAAATAATTTAATTTCAAAGTGACATTATGATATCTGTCCAAGTATCAATCGAATCATGTGACGAGGTTTCTTTTTTCCAATGGAATTTTTTAGTGAATGTTTATTCACAGTAAAGCTCGTTTATGTTTTTGTCGGCGATATTCGAATTAAAAAAGGAAAATTTAATGAAATAAAAAAAATAAGAAAAATTAAGTAAGAAATGAAAGGGAACATATCTGAATGTAACGTGAGAAAGAAATGATAAATTACCGCGTTCAGCAGAACGTTTAATTCCTTCAGAGATAGAAGAATAATCCAATCTCAATTTATAGAAAATTATCGATAGTTGTAAATTAAATGTTTTGTTGAACGTGACTAATGCATATGTATTGCGTTTCTGTCGTTCTCCGTTTTGCTAACCTTTTCTTTCTCTCTTATTCCAGATACAATTCCAGCGGAAAGTGCTTTTCGCAAGTGCATACGAAGCATCTGACTGTGACCATAGATGCCTTTACGATACACAACAGCCTCTGGCAAGGGAAGAAGGTGAATCTACCGAACAAGAAGGACATACCGCTCGTCATATAGTTTTACAACAAGTGGTTCACACACTTAACATTACCGCTACCGTGCCCTCTGTTGTTCATATAGTTACTATTTTAATACAGGCCCATATTAAATTAATGCGAACGTTGCGTTCTTAGTCAATTTTATAAGGACAATTGATCGGTGCTGACCCCTATGTATGTAGAGAAGAGAGAGAAAGAACTGCATTTCGGCGCATCGGCGCGCGATCCTCATTCTTCTTGTAACGATCGCACACTGGTCTCCGAGGGTTATGATGAAAGCGGGGGATGAGAGAGAGAGACGGACGTTGTTACTAGGGAGGTGGGGAAGGGGGGAGGAGAGAGAGAGAGAGAGAGAGAGAGAGAGAGAGAGAGAGAGANAGAGAGAGAGAGAGAGAGAGAGAGAGAGAGAGAGAGAGAGAGAAGGTTTCGTTTCTTTTCTTACGTTTCCTCCATTTTTTTTTCTTTTTTTTTTTTCCGTTGGTGGTCGTCAGCATCAATCACTGTGTCATAAAGATTGCCGGTATCTGTAACCGTAGGAATGGTTTGTCGTCAATATCTCCAATACGCCCTTCCCTCATTTTTGCGGACTAACTCGACATGTAACCGCCTTGTAATCATATAAAACGCGAGTGTGGCCGTTGCGACTGGGATGCGCGCGTGAGTTGATTTTTCCTAAGTTCATTTTTGCGAGAGAAGAAGATAGACTATGTGCATGCGTGCGTGCGTGTGTGAGTGTGTGTGTGTGTGTGTGTGTGTGTGTGTGTGTGTGTGTGTGTGTGTGTGTGTGAGAGAGAGAGAGAGAGAGAATGGCAGATGAATGAATATTCTCAATATGAGTGTTGAATGTGCGTTCATATATGCATAATGCGATCCGCACAGATCTTTTTCCATCCTTTAGTAGGCTAGATATCTAAATTATTAACGATTATTCTAGAACGATTGAGAATTTTTTAAAGAGCATAACGTAACACGTGAGTGGTGAGGGATCGTTAATTTTTTTTCTTTTTTAGATGTGTCCCGCGCGCTAGTCGCCAGCCTCCAAGTCTGTTTTTTTATTTGTCCTCTAAAGCGTGCCGCCGAAGAAAAGGGAAATCGTTTCTTTCTTTTATACCTTCTCTTTTTTTTTATCGGGGAACCTTGTCTCTTTTGATACTCACTTGTTACATTTTACTGATTGAGCTACGCGTCGGTAAAGTGTATTCGCCTAGAACGGTATCGAATTGATGATTTCTCACGTGACAGCGCGCCCCTCTTCGCGAGAGGGAGAGGGAGTATCTTCGCGCGACGGGGTGGCGACGGATGCGAGCGAAAACTCATTTCTTTGTAAATAAATAGGTTTGTTGCATGACTGTAGCGAAGCGAGATGTCAGGAACCTTACGCAGCCTTACGGTCGATACGTTTTCTCGCGAGTGCCGCTCGTCCGACTCCGCGACGTTCTCTTCGAACGGCCAAGCGCCAGGAGACACGCGTGCGTTAGTCTACACCGAGAAAAGGAAGGAAGGAAGAAAGAAAGAAATAAATAAATAATACGCAGGTGTCTTACCGAGAACGATGTATTTTTTGTCGGCAGATTATATAGTTATCATTATATCGTGTATAGAAAATGAATGTTAAGTATCGTTGCCTCGCGGATAAAAAAATGTGAGAGTGAGTAAGAGAGAGAGAGAGAGAGAGAGAGAAAGAAAGAAAGGCCGAAGCGGCGTCGAGAAGAAGTAGAAGCGAGGGGAGTCCGACGCTCTTCCCGATCACGCTTTCCAAATCGTGCTCTCTCGAGTCTTGTAAGAGGAAGGTGGAAGATGGGCGGCGTTAAGATCACAAGTTTTACCGACGGAATGCTTCCTGCAACTGCGTTTCATCGAATAAAGCCCCTGCTGCAACTGCGACGAATCGTCACCGATCTTCTTCATTTCGAAACCATATTCCGCTTTCCTCAAATGTCGCGAGGCGAACGTCTGTCAGTATAGCCGGCGTCACACGTTCTGTGCCGTTCCCCAAATAGAAAATTACACGATTTTCAGTCTTGCACACGTCCACATAAGGGTCGGAACCGTTATAATTAGAATCATTATAATCTTATCATTGTAATTAGAATTATGCGATTTTCAACCTTATGGTTTATGATATAAGGCTAAGAATCGTGCAATTTTCCACCTGGGCGATGATACGGCATAACTGACCACGTTTACGTGACAATTTGATACTGTCTGATTGGTAACCTGTAATCTAACGTTTGCGTGAGAAATTGAGCGAAAAACCGACGCGAACATTGCAACTACTGGTGTTACATATCGTACGATGTAGATTATACAACGATATGTACTGCGATTATTTATACATGTAATCGATAGTCACACCAGCGGGAACTATTAGAGTCTATGCTGTATTCACGTGAACGTGGATTATACGAAAATTACTGATGCCCGTTTCGTCATGGTTTAAATTTAATCAAGGGAGAATTAACCAATTAACCGAACTGATCGATGCGATTGGTCAATTCCGTCGAGTTAATTGTCGATTACATTTAAGCCATGATGGTAGAAACGGGCATATAAATTAGTCTTGAATTGCCACGTGATCCGTGACGCCGACTGTACGACAAACGCTCCTGATACGAGCTGGTGTGTCGCGTTCCGAGGCGCGACGCTCTCGCCTTCGAACTGCTCCGCGATTTCTCTCCATAAAATTCGCCGGTCCGAACGGAGCGCGCGGCGATCTTTGTATGCATGTAAGTGAGTGAGTGTGTGTGTTTGTGTGTGTGGATATAACTTACCGGGAGGAGGAAAAGGAACCGCTTAATTTTTCTTGTGCCATAAATCTCGCGTCCGTCTGTCGCGCGCGGTACTGGCATCGGCTTCCTGTTTCGCTGAAGCGGGTCCTGCGGATCCCGCGACTCGGAACGCGATACTNGGGGGTAGATTTTCGAGATAGACATTTTGTACGATGTCGGCGGTCTGTATCCTTCGTACGATGATTTTCTTGCCGGTCTCTCGAGGGTGTCTTTCGCGGTTCGCACTCGCAGGATCGTTTTCTCCGGTCACTTTTTGTACGACAAATCTTCGACTCGGCACAGAGGACGGGCTTGGAACAAACGTGCACGCAGGAACGATTATTAACGACAACACTTCTTACGATACAACATATCGAGCTCCAATTATTTTCTCTCCGGCACGGTTGCTCGCGGAAGCGCGCGCATATGTGTGTTTTTCGACGCGCTCGGGATGTCGGTCGGCTTCGCTTTATCGTGTCCCGTTAATACATTTTGCTGTTTAACGTCACGTGTAACCGAGGAACTTGAGAGATTTAAACTCCGTCGATTGTTGTGTAGTAATTCAGAGAAAGAGTGTGTGTATGTGTGTGTGTGTGTGTGTGTGAGAGAGAGTATGCGTGTGGGAAAGAGAAAAAGAGGAAGGGGTGAGGAAGAAAGGTAGTAAAAAGGGGGCTCATTGCTCCGCATTCCCGTTTATTGTAAATCTCTATCCAAGATAGATAATCTATTCGCGAAGTAGTAGACTCCGGGATACGGTCCGACAGTCCTGACAATATCGAACGCGAGAGATACGCGCCATNGGGGGGGGGGGAGGGTAAAAAGAAGGGAAAATGCGATTCTCGCGCGCGCAGAATGTAAGTCGCGGTAAGTCCACACAACGGTGACAACGTTTTGAGGAGAGAATGAGAGAAAGAGAGAGAGAGAGAGAGATATATGATTGCGGTTTAAAATATATATAGTCACTAATTTTAAGAGCCAGCGAGAATTATGGCTTATGGAGATGGGATTGATTACGAAAAATTACGAGAGTAAGAGATCTTGATGGTGGTCGCTTACGTGCTTGATATTTATATTTTTTGAAAGATAGATATTATTAGTGAGCTGTGTGGGTGGAGAAAGAAAGAAAAAAAGACGTGGCTCGGGACATGCGCGATTGTGATCGACGTGTAAAGGGGGTGAAACCGGAGGTGATATAAAAGGGAAGGGTGACACGGGAAACTGAGAGACACAATTGAAGAATTGCGGCACGACATAATTCGTGTACATCGCAATTATAAATCGCGCTTACTAATAATAATATTAATAATAATAATAAATAAATAATAAACGATTATCGTTACGTAATGATTGCCGATTTTTATTGTCGCGGAAGTTTCAATGTTAAGGCATCAGTTCTCGAACTCTATCCGTGTCTCTGTAAATATTATGTTTTTATATACACGTAAACGATACTATATACTACTCGACGATATGTATATTTATTCAATAACGTCACGTAAGATTTTGGGTCATAATTTACTGTTAGCATCTTCGCAGCAAATGTCATCAATAAAATTTAATAACCCATTTGTAATAGACTTTTATTCTTCCGCGAACAAACGGAAAGAAGAAAAGAGATCTAATAGTATTTGGATCCGTATTTACCGGTTATTACTCGTAAGAAAGTAAGGGATCACCCCTTCATTATTCGCTCCAAAAACTGATCTGTTCAGGGCCTACTGGAGCGGTGTTCCCAGATGGAGGGATAAAGTTGCGCACGTGTAATAAACAAATTCCTACATACGTCAACGACGTATCAACCCTACTGAATACAAGATATCGTAAGAGCTTGTGTTCATGGTGATATATTTCGGTTCGAGTTATCGGCCATGTATAAAAGTTACTAGAAATGACCGCAAAATTATTAGGGGTATCCATAAGTAACGTCGCTTTTTGATACTTATGCCAAATTTTATTTCGCTTAACATTTAGTTCTTTCGAAATGTCACAATAAGCATACTAAATGTCAATAAATTTAATTAGTATGTAGATTATGTAATAATAAATCACGTCCACGAGCAAGGTGGTGATGTTTATTCGATTCGGAAAAAATGACATTACTCATGGGTACCCCTAATATTAATAATTGCAGTATTTTTTACTATTTCTTGAGTCCGTATCAAATTATAGATTGAAGATTGAAATTGAATCGAAATTTGACCAATCAGCGCAAAGTTCACTAAACTCAAATTTGCTTACAACTGCGCATGCACAACTTTTGTCCCTCTGTCTGGTAACACTGATCATTAGCTTTCAGTTGTATAGGTTGTTTCCTTCACTACAGTTTCTGCGTGGCCGAAACTCCTTTGTGGCATCTGTCAACAACCCTCATCCCTCCCGATCTGTCACAATTGTTTGGCAGTCGTAATGTGCAGACGTACTCCCGTAACGTTGTTTCTTAGTGAATCGGAAATTATCCACTTTCTTTAATACATATATCTATTTCGGTAGTAACCGAATCAAATCTAATATGTAACTAATAATCTAATTAAGTAACCAAATATTATACTTAACAATTGTGAGGGAAACAGCGTTTGGCGCATGTCCGTGAGGATTGCTGAAGCCACAAGGAAAAAGAAGTAAACTCCCCAGCATACGACCAAGTGAGCAATCTAGCAGGTAAGAATCGATGATAATTATGCAGAATCGAGACGACAGCGCCGATTTCAACAGGCTTGAAATATATCGTTAAAGCGATGATCCTAAACCTTCCCATCATTGAAGTCATTGAAATTCCTGGTCCCTCGTTTTGGCTGTCTTTGATGGACGTTAAGTAGATGCGAGAAATTGCATGCCAAAATATGTTACGTTATACGTGGAGATGAATCATTATATGCGCAAAATAGCACTCCTGATCGATTTAATACATTTGTGAAAATGTCCCGATGCTTTCTTTAATATTAACAATTAATAAATAGTCATAAAATTAACGTAATAAAAAATCATAAAAAAAAAGGTTAAAAACATACAAGTTACACTAATTTTCAGCTATTTGTTGATTGTAAATCGTAAGGTTAAAGGAAAGCGTGCGGATATTTTTAGATGTGCCGAATCGATTATGGGAGTGTCACACTTTGTATGTATATATTTTTTATCTCTACGTATATTGTAAGATATTTTAACATACGATTTCTCGTTTCCGACGTCATCAAAGGACGCAGCGCTAAGCTGTGTTCGAAAATGCCACACTAAGGGTAGAGTGAAATTTAATTGACCAATCATGATAAAGAAATCTTTGTTTTTTTGTCCTGATTTGTCAATTAAGTACATCATCAATGTAGTGTTCCCGAACACAGCCTTACTTTTCTAAACTCATCCTATTTTCTACAGCCTGTATTCTAAACTTTCTTTTATGATGAAAGCCCCTTTAAAAGTAGCTTGGGAACCATCTAATTAATCGAGAACCCACATTTAAAATATTTTTTATCAATAAAAGAAAGTTCAAAATATGGATCTATGACATATGTGATCTGTTCTTTTTAGCAGAACTAATTGCGCTATAAACCTTTTTTAACAACGTTTCAATAAACAACAAAGAGCGGCGACTGAAACCTCTCTTGAAAATAAATCGGGATCATGACTTGACCAACATATTTCAAGCTCGTTGAAATCGGCGAAATCACCCTTATTTTGCATAATTACCAGTAGTTATTGTGAGTTATTTAAAACAAAAATTTAAGGCATAAAATATTGTCTTGAGATTACAAGTTAACCATTCCACTAAAGCCCTTAAGATTCTTACAATTCTTACGATTTTGTGACAGGTGAATCAAAAGGTTGAGCATCCGACCGGCACAGCCATTACCACAACTGAATTAAACTGAACTATGACATGTGAATAATTGTTTTCTTCAAATTGCACCGTTGGTATAATGAGCGATCAAGGACATTTTAAAAACAAATCCAGAACAGCTCGCGCCAAACGGTTTCAATATAAATGGTTTGATGGAAATCCTGCATGGAAAACATGGGTAAAAGAGGTACCCAATGAGCCTACAAAATATTTCTGCAAAGCTTGCAAAACTACATTAACTTGCGGCTTGACTGAAATAAAAAAACATTCTGGGGCAGAGATTCATTTAAGAAATATGATGACAGCACAAAATTTAGATTGCAATATTAGCGATTCCAAGATAACGGATAGTACATTCTCTGCAGGAACTAATTCAGAACAAGCTGAAATGGCTCAGCCCGGGTCTGAAGAGGATTTTAACTTCGAAGACCGTGTTAAAATGGCTGAGATTCGGCTAAGTGTGTTTTTTGTGGAAAAGAACGTGCCATTCGCAATCTCGTCCGATTTACTCTTGCTTATGAAAGACATTGGAAAAGAACCCGGTATTTTGAAGTCGATGTATTTAGGTAGAACAAAATTAACACACATCGTTAACAACGTCCTCTGTCGTCAGGTGACAAATCGAATTTCTACAATTTTGAAGGAAAATAAATTTTCGGTTTATGAGGAAAAAATATTAAATGTAATGAATGAAAAGTGGTTTCCATTAATGGTGCGTTACGTGGAGCCGAAAACATTACGTATTAAATGTGAATTGCTCCAAATGATTCACTTGGGTGCGATTAACAGTTCTGCCAGCAAGATCTTCCAGTCTTTCAAAACTGAGTTGTTAAAAAAGAATATTCCACTACAGTCGATCGTCAGTCTCGTTTCTTATAATATTTCAACGGTGAATAAAAATTCTTTTGAGACAAAATTAATCGAAAATAATCCAGATCTCGTTGCGCTTCCGTGTGTATGCCATTATTCAGCCTTAGCGGTTAAAGTGGCTTGCAAAGTACTTCCTCAAAACTGCAGGCGTTTCATCAAAAGTGTTTCTACAATTATCAACAACAGCCCAGAAAAGATAGATACTTCGCAAGATTCGAACATGTCCTCCGAAAAATCATCTTACGCCGCAGTGGGTTGGCTGTCGCGTCACAAATATATCGAGGGAATTTTGGAAGTGTGGGATACTTTGGATAATTTTCTGACGAAACAAGCGTGTAAGGATATTAGCGCAGATCTGCATTCGATTTTTCAAGACCCTGCAACGAAAGCTTACGTTATCTTTTTGAAGTTTACACTTGATACTTTCAAGAGGTACAATGATAAATTCCAAACCCAAGAGACCGTCATTCACGAGTTGCAGCCTTCTTCGATGGAATTGCTACTTTGGTTCCTCAGAAAGTTCATCAAATCTGCGTTATTAAACTCGGAAATATTCGATCATACCGTAAGAAATTTAATTTTCTCTGATCCCGTTAATCAGCTCCCACTGGAGGAAATAGATTTTGGTGATGAATGCAAACAATACTTGCAAGACCGATTGAATCAGGGAGTATTGTCTGAGACGGACGTCAAACTTGTTCAAGGCTGTTGCTTGCAATTTTATGTCAAGGCAAGCGAATATATTTGCAATCATCTCCCGATCGATAATCTCTTTTTGCAACATGTTAATGTATTTGCAAGCAGATCTGCATTGTACGATTGCGATCGAGACTCCACATTTCGTAAAGTTCTCCAAGTTAAACGCAGATTACGCGACATGCTTGACGAAGATTCAATTGAAAGCGAATGGAGATCTTTATATGAAATCAGTCCAATTATAAAGGACGAATTGTCAAAACTATCTTTCGACGATATGTGGATGAAAATTAGCCTCTTTTCTACCGACGAAGGAAAACTTTGTTTTCCAAATTTGCGCTCTCTTCTTAGCGTTGTGAGAACTATTCCTCATTCAAACACCGAGGCTAAACGTGTATATTCTCTTATTCCAGAGACAAGTAAGAAGAAAAGAAACCTATCGATTGAGACGTTAAATTCAATTTGCGTTATAAATTATTATTTAAGAAGTACTAATGAAACTGCTCGCACCATGACAATGACGCGTGAGCACCTGGACCTGACGAATTCGGCAAATGTTTATAAAATAAAGTCTGAGTAACGCCGGAGCTCCATTACGATAGGGTGATTTGAGCGATTTGGGCGACAACATCCGTTGCACGTAGCGGTTTATCAGGCACGGTACGATTTGTGACAATCAGAGGTAGGATTCAGGTGGTATATGATAATGAGGAGTTGACGCTTAAGGTGGACGAGTTGGAACAAAAGTAAGGCAAGGCCACGAAAGTTAATGATCACTTTGCGGACTCCACCGCCTATGGTTCACTGTATATAAGAAGTATACCAGGTAAACGAGATGTTTTTCTTATTTTCAAAATTTTAGTAGAGTTAAAAATCACATTGAATTTTTCCTTATATTCCGTGTAAAAAGAATGGATTGAAAGATTTACTACGAGCTGGCTGATAATAATAAATGATTACAGATGCGAGAAAGGTCGAATAAAGACCGAGTAAATTTTATAAGAAATAGAATTTGGCGACTTTATATAATTCACACCGAATGTTTCAGAATTATATTTGCAATTGAAATAGTTATTTAATTTATCGACTATATCCGAATTAAAATAGAAAAATTTAATATAATAAATAAGAAGTAAAAAAATAAGATAAAAAATAAAAAAAGGAATAAAATAGAAAAAAAAAGAATACATCTGAATGAAACTTGAGAAAAAGTAATAATAAGTGGCCGCGTTCAGCAGAATGTTTATTTTACAACTGTTGGTAATTTTCTGTGTTGAGATTGGATTATTTCTCTAGATCTAAAAGAATGATCCTATCTCATTTCAGGGCACATATTACAGACTTGTTCAGAATTGCTCAATTATTCCCCATAAAATATAAGAGAAACTCTAAGGAATAACGAAAAGATTTCGATCGGAATCGATTCTTAACAAGTCCATGGATGTCCGGTAAACTCCCAACAGTTGCAAAATAAACGTTCCACTCAGCATGGCGAACATTATACGAGTATGTACCGTTTCTGCTGTTTTCTGTTATTAACGGCTGTCCGTTTCTTATTCCAGATACAATCCCAGCGAAAGTGCTTTTCGCAAATGCACACGAAGTGTCCGACTATGATAGACTATATTATGATATAGTCACCTTTACGATACATAATAGCTTTTGGCAAAGGAAGAAGGTGAATCTACCGAATAGCAACAGAAGCGCATATCACTCGTCTTATAGTTTTACAAATGGTTTTACTTAACATTACCGCTACTGTGCCTTCCTGTTGTTCATATAGTCATAGTATTTTTAATACAGGTCTATGTTAAATAGACGAATGTTACGTTCTTAGTCAATTTTATAAGGATAATTGATTGGTGATAACTTCTATATATATGTAGAGAAAAATATATATATACACAGGGGAAACTGAGACATACATAATTAAATTGCGGCATTACATAATTCGTGTGCGCCGCAATTATAAATCACGCTTATTAATAATAATAATAAATGAACTATTATCGTTATGTAATAATTGCTTTTTTTTTTATCGCGAAACGCATTGTTTTAACGTTAGAGAATCAATTCTCAAACTCTATCTGTGCTGTGTAAATATTAGGGAATTTTTGCAATAACGTTTTCGGTAGATACGATGAACGCTAAAATGCATTCCGGTATTCACTGCCAATACTTTAAGCCTATAGATACGTAACGCTTTAGCGTTTACTGTATCTGAAAGATAGTTTCGCAAAAACTCCCTATTATGTTGTTATATATACATAAACGGTAGTATTACTCGACGATATGTATATTTATTCAGTAGCATCATGCAGCATACGATTTGGGTCATAATTTATTGTTAGCATTTTCGCAGCGAATGTCATGAATAAAATTTAATAATTTATTTGTAACAGACTTTTATTCTTCCGCGAGCGATAAAAAACCTAATACTTAGATTTAGATATAATATTTAAATTCTAATATTTTTAGATTTGTTATATGAAGAGATTTACACCATATCAAAGTCGTCTCTCTGTAACAAAAGAAATATATAAAAGAAATTCACCAGGATATAATTTCATTATAATAAATATTATAGGATAACAAAACAAAGAGAAAAAATTCTTACTTCATCATTGTATTCTAGGACATGTTTTCTAATAGCAGACGTATCTACCCATGTTACAAAGTCTTCTAAGTTCCTATAACATATTAATATTATTTTATTTCTCAATATATATAAAATATGAAAGAATATACAGTAGATTTTTGCATAGCACAAGGAATATATGTTCTGTGTTATATGAATGGATCATATGAAAATACATATTTATACAGGAGGGGACATGAGATTTTTTTGGTAGAAAGAAATTAGGAGAGTTATTGATGCTTAAATCTTTCGTCTTACTAAATTGATGAGTCTATTTTATATACATATATATATTACCTTGTCACTAGAAATGCAGGATCCTTTACTACTTCTACACCAACTCTGACGTGACCTTGTTCTATCAACTTGGTTGCCATTTTTATTGTTTGACACATTTTACTTCGTACCATAACTACCGGTAGTCTCCGTCTGCAAAATGAACTGGCAGTTACTTTCTGAGTTTGGGACAAGTCCCATTTTGTGGAAATTAAACCCATCATGTACAGCTTCTCCAGTAATAAAGCACTCTGTTCTATACGGAAAGGATGGTCGGGCTCGATCTCCTTGATTTTCCTACTCAAGTCACGTATGTCACGTGCTATTTTATTGTATCTACAAAAAGTTAAATAAGAATTTTAAAAAATATATATCTTCAAGATATATTTACATTATTATATAATAATTATTATATATTACACATTAGTTGAATAAACGTTAATATTATTACATTGTATAATCAGCTCTTCTCTGCACACAATATCTTTTTAAGATCTTAACCTCGTGGAGATTATTGTCAGTTGGCCACGATATAAAATCCACCTTCTTCAGCAGCTTTTGCTCATGATACTTTAATTTTCGTACCATTGCAATCGATTATTTATACAAAACGTTTCACAAATTGATCTTTATTTAAATCAAATCTTACACGATACGCATGTAAACAATGTACATGTAATACTACTGTATGGCTAACGCTGCAATTTTCCTATAAGTGAAAGTGAACCCAACACTGAAAGATAGAAGATGAACGGTTATTGGCTATAAGAAAGAGTGGGAAAAGTGTTGAATAATCGTTAATGCGCAAGCGCGGCGGCAAAATTTAAACAGATTTATTAAAGGAATCGAGTAATTGATAATTAATAAGAAAAATAAATATTTTTATTATCGCTACAGAGTCTTCGTATTATACGAACAGGTAGTGAACGTAAGCTTACAAAATTTAAGTGGTTAGTTTTCAATATAGTGTCAAGTCAAATCATATTGGCTCAGACTATGGTGGAAGGACAAATGTCACGCATGCGCTTTATAACAAACTGAGCAGTGATAAAGACAGACGAGCATTGCGGCACCGTAGTGTTGCGGTCTCGCTCAAATTTCCATTAGCCATATAGTAGTATTATATATATATATATATATATATGAATATTTATATATTATATATATATATATGAAATTCCTATAAATACACCTATAAATACATGTTCTTGCACCATTTTCAAAATATTCTCCAAAAACCATGAACTTTATCGTATCAAAATCTACGAAAAAACACTATTTCTTTCATTCTCATCTTTTTGGGCAAAAATCGACTCTTTTAACATTTTCTTGAAGTAGACTTAAAAAAGTGTCTTTCGCACACACACGTGTTACGAATTTTATAATACTGAATATTTGAGAGAGGATTAAAATTTTATAGATTTACTAATTCTTTTAAAAGTTTGCATTGAAATTTTGTCTATATTGATGTAACATGTATTTCATTCCTAAAAAAAGAGCAAAGAGGGACCATCGCATCTAGAGAGGAGAGAGGCACAGATTCCGATATGTAACTATTCTGATATGTACAAATAATCCCCGATATTATATATAACCAAATATGCCAGTGTTTTCATTGTAATTGGCATGTAGTACGTTTAAACTTAGTTAACATGAAATATCGACTGAAAAAATTCAATGGACAAATAACAATTTTTGTTAAAAAATTATCCTCTTTATTGGAGTTTTTAACGTTATTTCCTCGTGGTAGAATCACGCATGTTATTCACAATACATTACGCGAAAATCTGATTACGCATCAGTAATTAGTTTCCATTCGACAATGAGATTACATGGAAACGCAAGTTCCCAAAAAAATAATACAATTCTCGTAAAGTTGCGTGTGTCAAGTACATAAAACTATATTAATAATATAGTTTAAAAATATGTATGTGTGTATATGTATATATATATATAATGTATGCATATCTCTACCCATATTTATTACATATAATTTCCATCAATACGTATATACATACATATGCATACGTTTGCGCGTTTCTTCTTTCTTTTTTGCATCCATATATATGTATATGTATACCACAAGTGTACAGAAATCTTCAAGGCACTCCTGATTTATATTACATTCAATATTTTACAAGTTGTGTTGTCCAGCGTTGAATGAACGAGGCATTCTGACGAGACGTAAATTAATCCTTTTACTCATTTTACAAAGCGACGTAGTAATACCTGATACGCGCATTTATACAGCAAACGGACAAGCGATGCAGGCATTATTGAAATGGGAAAGATGCATCCTTTTTTCTCTTTCCTTGTACAACTCGAATGTCGTTATCACATAACTATCTTTACAATTTTCTACGTACAATGCCAAGATTTTTTCCACTGAGAATATTAAATTTTAAAGCGAGTTTATTCAAAAGCGAATTATCTTCATCAGAGACGCGTTGCATTGCATGCTTTTCAATTTTTTTTTCTTTGTGAAACCAAGACATACATTGTCTGTCACAAAATAACGAGACTGACTACTAAAAAAAACACGGTTCAGGTATATTTCCAGTTGTTTCCAATTGGTTGACAGATACAATTACTTACTGTTGCACTTATACTGGCTTGGACATGTCTATTACTACTTGCAATTCTTTCATTTCAACATACCACTTCTATCCATATTTCAAGAAATATACTTTTATTTATTTTAGGATTATCTGTGGCACATTTTGAGTGATTCAAATTGCACACAGTATTCTGTCTGGCACTTTAATTTTTCATTTATCTCAAATGAGCATACATAGCTGCTAGTGTAATAATAATTTTTGTGAATATATATTTTCGAATGTATAGATGATTTTAACTTTTTCGGTTCGCGATCGAATTTCGCAATTAAAAGATCAGTCTCATTACTTTAGTAACGAACTATGTATAAATGGCGGACGGTGACACTAAACAAACACGATATTATACATTAATTAAGTTATTAATGCGATCTAAATGTTCGAGGCTGAAGTCAAAATATGTTTTTCGAATTACGCATGATATATTGCAGAAATATTTGGACACGATAGTAGCCTTAAATTATATTTCCCCGACAAAAAACATTATTTCTTCGTAAGACTTTATCTGCTTGTTCTATTTTTGGTTTCTTTTTTCTAAAGATCTTTATACTTGTTACGTCAAAGTATTGATTTCAGTCTAATCGAACACTATATCGATATCTATAAAACATAAAAAAAAAAGTAGAATCCGCAACATAAAATTCAAGACTACCGTAGTATACAAATAACTTTACAATATACCTGCGCCATATATGCGCTAACTAATTGCTAGATTTATCCAAAATATAGACTGATATTCCCAAATATTGCCTACGTGTTTGCTGCCTCCGTGTCTCATATACCTTTGGCTTCCCGCTTTAGTAACAGCACGTTTCACAAGCCTTCGTATTCGTTACTTAAATACAGTATATTACAGAGAAACGCTTATCTATAAGAATGCATGTACATCACCATCGCTTACCCCTATAGCAACATTCAGGATAATGTACACAAACAAGACATGTACAGGTTTTTCGACTGAATAATAGTTTTGATGCACTGTTTTTGCAGACTTTAAACACCAATCTCAGTCGGTTTTCTGCTGATATAGTTCCTTTAACGATTTCAGTTCGTCGATTAGCGTCTGATTTCTGTTCTCCAATACAGCAACACGATTTTCTAAGCACTTTATATATTCTTTCTTCTTTCTTCTACATTCACGCGCCGCTTCCCTGTAAACATTAAAAACAGAGGTGAAGTTATTTCATATCAAGATATAATTTTTCTAATGCACATAACATAACACTGACTCCTTCATTTTCTCTTTCTTTGGATAGAAAATATTTCTCAGATACCTGAGCCTCTTTATATTATTTTTTATACTAATTCCACTATGTATGTATAAATGTGTTGTATATATACAATAAATTCTATTTTTATCTCTTACCTGTTTTTGAGCAACCTCAGTTCTCTCTTTCGCGCAGCATCTTCCACTACAACCCCGTGACCTGTATAAGCTGGAACATTGCGAGAGACTGCACTTTCCAAATTTTTATGTTGTATGTCACAAATTCTCACGGTTCTCTACCGAGCGATTTATTTCACTATACTTGATAGAAAATAGTTACCGTGTTTTTTTATGAATGTACAGTTTAGAAAAAGCGTGTTACAAAACCGCATTATTAAATATAATTTATAAAAGAATTCAGAAAATCATTTATGTTACTATTACACATACAATAAAATTAACATGTATGCCGTTATTACTTTATTATGGCAACACATCGTGTTATTTTCTTGTATTAATTAAACTAACCCATACTTTTGTATCCTTTCGATAATATATGACGATTTGATAGAAACAGGAATCAAAACAGGAATCAAAACAGGAATCAAAACAGGAATGAAACGTAGCTTTTTAATAGTTTCGGAAATGATGCGAAAGCACACCTGGCACAAAAAATTGAGTGTCTTGACCCTGTGCATACTGCACTATAGCTCCAGTTGGTGTCGCCGCATTGCTCATAGTTAACGTATGAAGCCCCGGAACTCCCTCCCCTTGGGTCGCAATTTGAATAGTACCGGCGGGAATGACTGCAAAACAAATCATATCGAAAATATCTGACATTTTATCGTATGTAAAGGAAAAAAATTGTTCGTCAATTTCTGACTAACGATACGCCGTGCGCTATACGAATGCACTGAAGAAAGTATGTCGTTGTTCGTAATGAAATTACGATATAGTAATATTATAGCTGCGTTCTCTTTGGGTACTCAAACGCTGTAACTGCTGTATCATTCCATCTCCCTTTGGCATATAATAGACAATAAAGATAGAATGACACTTATAGCGCGTAAACGTTCAAATCGAATGCAGCTATGTGTATGTATGTATGTATGTATACTCGAATCTTCGCATAATATTCGTCTTGCATTCTTCCTAGGATATCAGCTGTTTTTCGCTGCATGTATGAAGAAATGCGCCGAATAACGAGTATTGATATTTATCCTATATAAACAAGAATGCCACACCAAGCGAGTGTCGTGAAAGAAGGTGAGATCAAAAGTTAGGCAATACACACAGGGATGGAAGACATTTGTGAATGTGAATCTCGAATGTCTTTTCTTAAATTAAATGCTATTCCTCTAACATCGTCTCTTTCGATATACAATGGTATGTAAAAAGCTGCGTACATACGGACAAACTCCATCGGAACTGTACAATCGGAAAAAATACGGTAAAAGAAGATAAAGTAACCAACCTGTTTGGTAATGGAGCGAATGGGAAGACACTTCACTGTCCACGTTAGAATCACACTCGGAAGATGATTCTAAGGGGGGCAAACGACCGTCTGTAACACCGAATCAACCCCCAAACCTCTATTACAATCAGTTCGTTGACCGGTATTAGCTAACGTGTGTGTGCGTCACTCTACGTATAACATATTTATATTACTTATTTCATTACCTCTGCATTTTTTCTGTCAAACTTTACTCTAGTAAACAACACCCGTATCACACAATCAATTCTACGTATATGCAAGTGTCGGCACCCAGAAAGTTTCAGTTATAGTGAGTCAAACGAAAAGAACTAAATGAGAGTCCGTTTTATCTATATGATGATAATTAGTTCAACTATTTCCTTTCTGGCTGCTGATTATAGACGTACACCTATCGTTAAACTGTGCAGTCAGCTCATACAAAAAGGAAATAGGGAATTACGATATTTAGAAATACTTATCAGAAACAATTAGTTTTTAAACATTAATTAGAAACGACTAAATTCTCAGATAGATACACAGGTAGAAACTTCGTAATGATAATTTACACAGACAGCTTGAACTAATATGTAGAATTAACGCGAAGTACATCCTGTTAAAATAATGCACACATATTTTATGCAATTATTTTATCAGTATCTTCTATTTTCGCGAGTTACAAGCTGCAGTAAGATATAGAATATATCGAACGATAAAATCAACGGGGAGGAGAATGTTATGTAGATAACGTACAGTCTAACGTGTATATAAATACTTTTTATATATATATATACTTTGTATGAACATTTCCTATATTGATTGTAACTTGTTGAAACACAATATATCACGTTGAAAACGAGTGTATGTGCCCGGACGGTGTGTCTTCGGAAATTATTTCTCTTTTTAATCTGGGCCAGTAGTTACTTTCGCTACTTTTACCTTATTTTCTTTACCGTCTGAAATTTTTACCTTTTACCTCCGATAAAACTTTATTTTTGAATTCATTGTTTGTTAATATATCGTTGAGGTAGTGGTCAAAAGGAGCATTATATATCCGCGTAAGTTTTTGTTATAAAATCTCAATAAATAAATCTCAACCTCGGATTTATTTTAAAACTTAGTAGTTTACCTTTGTTATATCATATTGTATTGGGCTTGGTATGGCATACTTTTCTTGTATATATAATACAAGTATATAAAGAATAATGCATTAAAATGCAAATTGTGTCGTAAAAGAGTTTTCAGTTACTTGCAATCGAAAGTAAAAAAAATTCTAGAGAGTTGTATAGCACATAAAATACTTATATACAGTATACTTTTTATTTTATTAACGATATATACATATATAAGGTGAATCTGATAAAGTCCACCATATTTTTTTCTTCAAAAACAGAGATAGAGAAAAACACCCATTATATTTTGACGAGACTTTAACTTTGTTTATATAATCAATAATTCAAAGTCATTTCAAGATCAACTTCATTTATTTTTAATGGAATTATATAGTCTTTTTTTTTAATACAAATCGATACCTCTCTTCATTCTGCGTATAAAAATATTAAAGTAAGATCGTCGAAAAGTGAATACTTTTCGAAATATTTTTCAGTACAAGATATGAAATATCTTGTATGCTTTTCACATGATATATATACTATATACACACACAAAATAGTGAAAACGTCCCGGAACAGTTAAATATCTCGTAATGCATTTTTTAAATAATCTTACAAAAGTTGTCAAGTTTAATCAGACGCATTTAATGACGGTATCTGTCTGATCTTTGGATGATATTGCCAATATCAGATCAAAGTTAACTTGAATTCAAAATGGAAACCGCTATTTTTTTTTATTATATATTCTTGTAGTTGATGTGAAGATGTCTTCAAAACGTTATAGTAAAACTTTAAAAAATTTTGTTAAATACTCTTCGAGTCATTGGTTGACAAATTTCAGATACCACCGACATTAGCGTTATCCAAAATGTATCACACGAAGTTATACTTGCTTGGTCGGATTTATACTTCTTATGCACGCGTATGTGTGTATATACGTATATCTCGCAGAGATCAAGACCTAATTGCTCATTATTTCCGCAGCGAATACGAAATGTACTGAATAATTATTATGAACATTGGGGGCGTTACTGTGAAATCGTAGGAAGTCAACAATCTGAACGCTTGCTCAACTAAAACACACAAAGATCATTCTCAGTCACGAAACGGTAGCCACACTTTTTTCCGATGACTTTTGTAACGCATCTCGTAATAGGAAAATGCATATCTTCTGAGAATTATCTACAAACTAAATTCTTCTGTTGGATATAAGATGTGTTCCGAAAAAAAGTGTTGTAATTTTGTTGTAACTGACCATATAAACGACAGAGAGAGTTTGGAGTTCTAAAATACTGTGGAAGTAACGAAACATAGGATCCTGATCTTTGCATGATACATATATACGTACACATATACACGCATGCATGTATACATACACGCAAAAGATGTAAAAATTCAATCAAATAACCTCCATCTTGGATAGTACATCTTAGATAACGCTAATGCCGGTGATACCTGAAATTTGTCAACTGATAACTCCAAAAATAACATATAGAATATCAGAAAATTAGACCGTCAAATTTTGAAGGAAAATAGAAGACTTCAAAATCGACATTTTTTTGTTAATTCTACTTTTTTACGACGATTTGTTTTAATACGATATAAATAAACTATAGATAAGTCAAATTTTCCCATTAAGGCTTGACTATCTCGCCGCAACCATATTGGCTTATGATGTCATAGACGAGAAAATAAAATGTCGTAGAGAAAAACAGTATTAATAAAAAATGTTTATTTTAAAGTCCTCTATTTTTCTTAAAAGTTTATCGATATAATTTGTTAACGCTCTGTATACATACACATATATATACGCTTATGGCGCGAACTCTACATTAATATATATCAAAACATAATAATTAAAAAAAAAGAAATAACATGAGTGATATGAGAATCAGTAAAATCTAATAAAATTAATCTTATAGTTAATTTTTTTAATACAATTTTAAAGCTTAAATAGACATATGGAAGTTACTATATTTTGTATTCATCGGTCTACTATCGGTTTACTCATATATTCAAGTTATTTATTTGTATGAACTGACATGCACTTAAACATCTCGCACGAAATCGTATTAGATCGCAAGCATTTACCTTTGAGATACTCCAATTGCAACTTGCATTCATAGCTATTCCTTAAGTGAATTGTACGGATGATAATATTTTACGTTTATGCGACAACCTAGCAGACAATTACACCTTTGCTATTGTATAAATTTCTATAGCGCACGACATAAAATATCTACGTGCTAGTTTCAAGATAGAATTTCTAAGAATGCACCTTACCTGTAATTTCTCCACCGCCCAAGTCATTAAGAATTTTTCTATAAGATGGTCTTCTGGTAAGAATGTCTCTTCTCTTTTTAGGTGATTCTTCGTCTGAGAAACTGTCATCACTACCGGTTTCTACCACCTTGAAAGAAAGCAAGATGTTTAAATTTTAAATATGCATATATATGTGTGTATGTGTGTGTCCATATATCGCGCATATATAAGTGTAAACATATAATTGCTGTATTATATTATAATTATATTAATATTTGTTTTATATCATTGTAACAAGTATTATCTCAGAAAGTAGAATATTGTGATATATCTGTATTGTAGCACAAATCTTACTTGAAGGGTCTGTAGATTGCCTTGTGCAGTTTGTATAACAGAATTAGGTTTGCTAACCAGAATAACATTTCCTTTAGAGATAGCAACAGGTTGTATGTTTGTAGCCGTTTGTATTACAGACTGTTGATTGGGCTGTATGACCGATTGTACCTATACAAGGATATAAATGTTAAATTAATCACAAAAGATTACTTTATACATTTTAAAATTATGTATATATACATATATATACATATACATGATCATTATTCCTTAAGCATACAGACAAAAAGCGTATAATCATATAACGCTACACAAGAGAATATCCATGAATGTATCAATTCGTGCTATAATAAAAAGGAATAATGCACATGTCATATATAAATATATACAATTCCTCTCTTTTCTCTTAGTGCATGTGCGCATGCACACATGTATGTGTATATATGTCTAAATAGAAATTGTAGCAAAATTTCAATATGTTTACGCACAAGGTGCACCTTTTGCAATACGTTATATTAACAAGAAACATTTCTTAAAAATCCTACAATATAAAAGAGAAAGAGAGAAAGAGAATAAAAAAATCACATCTTAAAGAAATATTATATTCCTGAGACGCAACCAGCATTATGCAAGATCAGACACCTAAATTGCTTATGTTACAGAAATAATCATAATTGGAAGATAAACAAATGATTGTATGCATGCTCCGAAATGAAAAGAAAGAAAATTATTGGACATAGATACACAGGAGAACCTCCTGTATACCTGTGTTGTTCCTGACGAAGGTAGTGTAAGTTGCACAATGCTGGTAGAAGCTACCAGGTGGTGAGTTTGCTGCTGATGTGTTCTATCGAGAGATTGTACCGATGTAGCAATTGCTGGCGCAGCATCGCCGCCTTGGGAACTCTGGGACAATGGATCGACTGCTGACCCATTTTCCTCGACCATACTTTCCATAGCCCGGCTACCTCGCGAGCTCTGTAATATAAAACATATTTTAACTTACATGATTAATATAAAAAGCTTCTCTTTGCATAATCTAGTATAAAATTTCCTTAAAATAGAAAAACCTAATTGTATTCAATGTAAATCATAGAAATAAATACAATATTTATACAATAACATAATCAGAAAACAAATATATATTGTTACATTCTCAATCAATTGGATATAGTGGTGGAATTGGAAAATAATCAAGTCAAAATGCATGTAGCTGCATGCTCTCGATTGCACACGATATGAGTTTGGATTAAAAAATTATCTGGTAACGTTATTTTTTTATTCGATACAAGCAATGGGGGAAGGAAACAAGCCACAATGTAAATGCTCGCACATGTTCTTTTTTCTCTTCTTTCTTCGCAGAATCCTCCGTGACAGTCGTCTTTACGGAAAGAAACGCGGTAGAAGAAGACCGAACACAATTCGAACTTCCCGCCAATAACGGAAAATCCGACGACTGTTACTGCGTCATTTACATAAGCGGATCTAAAAATAACACGGGTGGAACAATAAACACTCTCGAGATACTCTCCGTTCTAAGCGAGAGCCGCGGCGAATCTCAGGGGGTGAACGCGAGTGAACCCCTACGATCAGACGTGTGTACCCCTGGGGGAGCGCGGGACCGCGCGCGCGTCTCGCGGATGTCCGTACCCTGGACGTACCTTAGTACGTCAAACGGCGAATGTCGCGTAACCCCCTCGCGTCAATCAACGAAGCGAAGGGGGATTACGTGCGCGTTTCTCGTCGAGGCGCCATATTTCGCAGCATCCGTGTCGCACAGCAGACGTAAATGCGGATCGTCGCGCACGGGTACTACGATAGAAAACGGCGGAAAACGTTCCACTCTTCGTCTACAACGAACGGTTCGCCGCGAGCGGTATCGTAGTGTGCGAGAGAGAGCGAGCGCTGGTCCATGCCTGCCGCCTTGTTATTATTCTCCAGCTGGGGTACTTACCCGGTTACGTATTTCTCGTCACCAAGTTTGCTGCAATAGGAGTGGGCAGACGGGCAAGTACGTAGCAGCCACGTCAAAACTCCAGTGGCTTCGTCACTGGTGGAACCCGCGACCTCTGAGTTGCGCGTCACGATCAAGATGGCAGACGTCGCTCGTTGTCGTCGCCGTCGTAGTCGCTAGCTGCCGCTGCTGCTGGCTCTCCTTCTCTCTCCCTTCCTCCTTCTCTCTCCCTCCGAACCCTCATAATCTAATCTCTTCTATATTCCTACATACGATCGTATGTGATCAAGCGGGCTCCGATTATGAGCAATGACGACGATATTTTTGCATCACGTTCCTTTCTTTCCTTTTTCATTATCGTTCTCTGTCTACAACACACTCTCTCTCTCTCTTACTCGCTCGCTCACTATTCAAAGGCCCTTAGCAGAATGTTTGACTTATAATTTTGAAATAATATTTTATGCCATTAATCCTTATCAAAATTATCATTTGTTTACTCTCTTATTATACAACGACTTGTCATTAGTCACAGACAGAATGGTTTTTTATTGCTTTTTCGACCGTGGTTATATTGCATTCATGATATCATAGGCGAGAAATGACACGTTGAGAAATATTGCATGTCATTTGCAAATAAAGAGATATTTGAATGAAACAGTATTTGAGATCGCTTAAAGACACTTGTGAAAATGGACGAAAACTCTCCTTTCTCTTCCTGGCAGTCAATAAATAGTCGTAAAAGACATGTGAAATAAGGCTTGTTTATGTAGGAAAACACACGGTTTCACAATTATGAAAAAGGAGTAAAAAATATATTCCATATATAAAATTCCAAGCTAATCTTTGCGTCTAACTTTAGGTTTAATAAATATGTCACAAGTGCACAGTTGCATAATAAAGCACATAATAACGAAATGGCACGCAAGAAAAATTTCGTTGCCATTCTTCACGCATATACGTGTAGTAGTCCAACAAGCGTAACAAATACTTCAAAGCATTTTTCCTTGTTTGTCTTCCTTAATTCGGATTCAAAAGATAGATGAAGAAGGACAAACGTTTCGAAGTATTTGTAACGCTTGCTGGACCGCGCCCCATTACTTTATCGTTTTGTTATTTGAAACTGTATAATAGTAATAGTATTCTGAACTCTCTTTTATCGATAAAAACGTCTCTAAAAATATCTTAGGAACCATCTGCTTGGTTTAGGAGTCATATTTAACCGTTTGAGTGCTGAAAGTCGATATATCGATCTTTTAATATATAACCTAAAATTTTTTCCCATCGTACTATTTTTTCATACTTTCAGTACAAATTAGGATCAGCAAATTTAACCCATATAAGAAAAAAACTCAGCACTCAAACGGTTAAAGCACTTTTTATTGATAAAAGAAAGTTCAGAATACAGTCTTACGTCGTTACTACGAGTTATGCCTTCTGTAACAAATTTTTAGTTCTCATGGAAAAGCGGCACGTTGATTGGCTATCGCGTCCTTCTTGACGTGTGGTAAGCGTTTTCACGTTCTGTGTGCGGGAGGCTATTACAAAATTTACGGTTTCAACACAGACAACCACGGTTACTAAAGGAAAGTTGGCCAATTTTTAAGGTGCGTTTAAGGAGGAGATACTGTTAGCGCTATAAACGCAAACACTACTAATGCTGTTCGTAACCAATGGCGCGAAAGCGATGCAAGCTCTACGAATGGTATTAGTGTAGCATTAGCATTTGATCTGTTCTTTTTAGCTATACTGTTGAACTGGTTCGATAAGTTCGAATGAGACGAGTATTATTCTCCTCATATTCGACTGTGATTGGTCAATTTCTTGAGGCTTAAAGCTTAAAACACCTATTGTAGACCAGAACTTAAACTGAGTCTGCAATGAGAATTTAAGCTCTAAACCTTAAAAAATTGCTAGTCACAATTGAATATTTCCTCACATTCAGCTGTGATTGGTCAATTTTTTAAAGCTTACGCCGTAAATTCTCAATGTAGATCCCGCTTAAAATAGGTGCTCAGTATCGTCAAAATCGACACGTGGTATATCGAGAGTGGACGCGCGGCCGATTAGCAGCCACATCTGTGATCAGTTTTGCGCAAATGGCCTGTCGACGTTGAAACCTGTCTGAGATCGCGTAACAGCGCGACAGCAGTTGACACGTTTCTCTTTTTTCTTCTGTATCGTTTTAGACAGTGATCGACGGTGAACTCCTGCCAAAATGGTCCTTCTGACGATGATCGCGAGGATATCTGATGGTCTCCCGCTGGCAGCCACCATGCAGGAGAACGAACAGGTTAGAAATTTGTTATGATGATGAAATGTCACTCTAATGTTATAGGCATTGCACCTCGTCATTGCGACTAATTCTCGTTAAAAAGAGCGAGAATTTACATGTGCGAAGTTCTCAACGAGACTTTAGTTTCATTCTCGATGATAAAACAAATGGAATATCCTGAAATTTATTTGATACATAAAAAGAAAGAATTAGAATAGTTTGCTCCTTTTGCAGTGAATCAGCAACAAATATAATTATAAGTTATAAACCATTCTGTTCACAGAGTGGCAGAAGTATCTTGGAGTATCAGAATCAAGCGAAGATGTTATTCAGGAAGCTAGCTCCGCAATCTCCAACAAGATGTACCTTAGAAACTGGACCATATCTTTTTCAGTGAGTAATCATTGCTGAATATACTTAATGCACACCAATATCTAAATTACACATGTTTGATATTTCATATTCTATATATCTATAGCTACTTAATTGAAAACGGAGTCTGTTACCTGGTATTATGTGAGAGGAATTATAGTACACGCATAGCTTATAGTTATCTGGAAGATATTGCGCAGGAATTTCATGCACAGTATGGCAAACGTGTAAATACAGTAACCAGGCCTTATACTTTTATTGAATTTGGTAGGTTATGGGTAATATAGTCGGCATAATGTATTACCAAATATATATATATATATATATCTATTTAATATCATTCACTTGTTATATATAGATACATATATCCAGAAAGCCAAAAAAGTCTTCTCAGACAGTAGGTCCCGCAGGAATCTGAACACACTTAATAGCCAACTGCAGGATGTGCAAAGAATTATGGTACAAAATATCGATGACGTCTTACAAAGGGGTACTGTACTTTCAGGTAATGTTCCACAATCTATCTTCTTTGCGTGAAGAAGGAATGTGTATGTATTTACATATGTTAATATTTGTTAACTGCACTTTTCAGAACTGGATACAAAAACACAAAATCTATCTATGCTGTCTCAGAAATACAAGAAAGACGCGAGACATCTAAATAGCAAATCAATGTATGTTAAAGCTGTCGCGGGGCTCATTGCATTTCTGGTCTTCCTTTTATATTTCTTTATTCTTTAGTTAATTAACTCAAGTGAAAACAAAATCAATTATGCATCAAGAGTATTCCATTTTCAAGGACAGAATATATTTCGCTTATTTATCTTGGCTATAATTATGAAATATTTATCATTTTAATGTTTGTCTACATTGATTTGTGGGAGAAAAAGTGAAGTGAAAATTTCTACCCTTACATTTAAAAACAGAAATTTTAGGAATTCTACCAATGTATCTAAAACGTGATCTATACCGAAACTATATGAAATATGGTATGTAATTTTAGTAAAAACATTCAACCCTTTTTTTAACGCTGTACAATGACACTAAATCCAACAAGTCTTGTTATATAATATAGGAATGAATAGATATACGATTTTACGTTTTGGTTTTGTTGAGTCGTTTTAGTGTTCTTATAACAAAAAGACAAAACGATATTATAATGTAAGAATTTTTGAAATGTACTGTATAGCGAATTATTTGTGTAATATATACGTTTATTTTTGTAATTTACTTAGGATATTAAATTGCTATCAAACCATTGATTTTGATAAACTATTCAAATGCTAAAAAGAAAAAAAATATACCAATTCTCGCCAAAAGAGAAAATTTAACGTAGTATTTCATTCATTCCTACATATTTATTCAAGTCACACAGCATATATACATATATATATATATATATATATATATATATA